CCACCCTGTTTCGTAGGCCAATCTCATCCCCTGCCCGAACCAACTTTCCTACCTTTGAAGGATGTGGACCTCGGGCTTAAAAAGCACACTGTTTTGTGATTTCGTACGTGATGGTTCTTGTCAGCATGTCAAGTTTGCATTGGAAGGATAATCTGGAGCCTTTTACAGTGTTCTGTTCTGAATATGCAGTATATGAGAAGCTGGATATATTGGTGATTGTAACACACTGTCGTTACTACTGTTGGCGAAAAAGTCTCTTGGTCTCTCCCTTCTGGCGATTCTCGTTTGAAGGTCCCAGCGGAGCCGGCTTTGCCCGAGCGGCTCGATCCGTTTCATTCACGGCGCATCGCGTCCATTTCAAGTCGATTGAATCACAATGAGGTGAAGCATTATCGAATTTGCGCAACATCGAGAGGCGAACAGCCAATCGAAATCAAAATCCCCACAATTTGCCCTCACCCTTTTCGTAAAGATTTTCCCTTCGAGCCGCACGTCGTGATAGGGGCTGAAGCGATGCTTCTTTGCTCCTGCGTGCTGTCGCCTTGGCCTGGATTTGGCCAAGTGCTTGTGCTGGAGGGCGGCCTTTGGTTGGGCTGGTTCAGCCCTGGGTGCCAGTGCGGCCTCGCGGTCTGGACCATAGGTTGTCAACTCTGGTTGGTTGGAGGAAGGGCAGCCTCGCTGGATTAACCATATACAGGTGCGCGCAGTCAGCGATGCGACGACGTCATCTCGACGAAATATAAAGTGCATTCATAAGGTCAGCGTTTCCGGTCATCCGCCACTTCGTCTCAGTTACGCTAGCTTTGGCGAGCACCTAGGCCGTTAACTACTAACCCTAGTATCATCCCCGTTGCAACTGAGCGGCTTCCTTTCTGAAAGAGGAGAAAAGCCTGAGCTTGGCAGAGAGACAATTCCCGCGAACCTCTTTGAAGCTTCTTGCGAGCGTTTGGTTCCCAATGGGGGCATCCAGCCTCCCGGCGCTAATACCGATACTACTGCTCCTGGTGGTATACCGCTTCACGCATGGCGCTTCAACGTCAAACGCACCTGTCACCGCTAACTATGTCGGTGAAGCCACAGGCGTGGCAATTAATGAGTCTCAGCCGTACGAGGGCTGGGGAGGCATGTCGCTGATGGAGCTGGAGGCCGCCGCGAAATCCGCCGCAGAACCCGCCACGAGCGCCGGTGCAGAGGACGAGTCCACGTCAGCGACGAACTTATCCGAGGCCGGCGAAGCCGGATTAGAGGGAGGATATGGCGAGGGAGGGTTGCGGAGAAGCCTTGCGTGAGTACCTGCACATTAACGAGTACAGGGTGCACATTCAACAATACAACTTTTGATTTCGCTTCTTTGATGTCAAGTCCAGCAAAGCACTGCCACATCGTTCTTCTCCCTGCCCCCCCAAAAGCCTTTACTTGCTGCGCACTCTCCCCCACCTCTCCCCTCCCTCCCCACCCGCTCCGGCCCCCGCTTCTTCTCCCCCCTGCTTCCCAACCCTCCGCAGTGGCAGCTCCGCGCTAAGCCCACTCGCGTCCGCGTGGCACAGCCTCCTGATCGCGCAGTACATGAGTCGAACCACGGCGTGCGGCGCAACGCTAACGCGCGCGTGCCGCGCGCTGCAGATGGCGGACAGCCTCGTGAAGTCGGGGAAGCCGGGGGAAGCCGTTGCGCAGACCAAGCTGGCGGGGTCCCTCGCGCAAGTAAGTGTCGGCGAAGCGATTTGCCTTACGGATTTTTCTGTTTGCTTGTTTCCTCGTGTTTTCTTGTTGCGTTGGGAGCTGCTAAAGCGAACAACCTACGCACGTGGTAACAATTTGCCGACGGTCGGATGCGTTTGTGCGGTGATTGCAGGCATGCGCGGGAAAGGTCCCAGCCAGCGCGGCGGAGCAAATACGTCTCGCCCTGCCGCAGATCAGCCTCGGGCAGAACGCTCTTTTGGCTGGCGGGTCAAAGTCCGTGCGCCCGTCAAGTACGAGCGGGAAGCAGAAGAGCTCGTCCGGGAGTAAATCGAGTTCGTCTGAGAAGAGAACGACGTCGACTGGGAGGAAGAAGGGAGGGCACAAGTGGAAGGATACCCCTGCGACGAAGGACCGCAAAAAAGGGGGCCATAAGTATAAGAATGTCCCAGCCAGGAGTAATCGCGTGAAGGGGGGGCACAAATACAAGCGGGGCGCCAGGAGACGTGGTTCGCGAAAGACGGGGGGTTCCTCGAAGGCGCCTGCGAAGAAAAATGGCTCGAGGGCTCCTGCGAAGAAAAGTGATTCGAAGGCGCCTGCGAAGAAAAATGGCGAAATCGGCTGGTTGGGACACAACGACGTTGCGCAGGGGGTAATGCAGTGGCTGCCGTATGGTAACCCGATCGACGACTGCTGGATGGGTCCCAACTGGCAGGCCACTCCGACGAAATTGGCGAGCTGCGTTGAGGGTTACGCGACGGGAACCACTGGCGGCGCGAAAGGGCGCATTTACCTCGTGACGTCGAATCAGGACGATCGGATCAACCCCAAGCCCGGGACTCTGCGATACGGCGCGACCCGGGCCGAGCCGCTGTGGATTGTATTCGATAACGATTTCGACTTTAGCGGGCTGGATGCGGAGATCATCGTGTATAACGACAAGACGGTGGACGCTCGTGGGCGAAAAGTGACGATGGGTAACGGCCCGTGCATGGCCATCGAGTTTTCGCACAACGTCATCGTGCACGGCATGGCGTTCAAGAACTGCAAGAACCGCGTGTAAGTGATCTAGCCCCGTGTTGTTCCGTCGTTGCGATTTTGCTATATCACCCTCTCTTCCCTCGCACAACGTGATCGTGCACGGCATGGCGTTCAAAAACTGCAAGAACCGCGTGTATGTAACGCAACCCCGCCGTTCCCTTCATTGTACCTCTCCCCGCGTGTTGATGCACCTCTCCCCCCCCTGAGGCGCCGCTCCCGCTGTTCGAGAAGTGCCGAACGCACCGGTAATCGCCCTCTCATTCTATGCTACTCCCCACGCTCGTCCCCCTTTTTTGTCATTCCTAACAGCGGTGCTACTTCGCTGACCACGGGCCCTGACAATACAGTGAGCGGGCGAAACTACCTTAACGGGTACGGGCTGTACATCTACGCATCGCACCACGTGTGGGTGGACCACTGCTCGTTCGACTACGCGGATGACACCCACATTGATATTGTCGCGGCCAGCACTGCCATCACCGTTTCCAACTGCTACTTTACAAATCAGGATAAGGTGTGTGAAATTGTAGAAGTGTTGAGGGGGGCTATAAGGGGGACATAGCGGATATCAATCACGTTTGCTTCCCCCTTCCTCCCTTCCCATCCCCTCATTTCCATGTCCCCCCTCTCTCCCCTCTCCCCACCTTTCTCCCCTCTCCCCTTCTTCCCAGGTAATATTGATGGGGCATGACGATGCGTACAGTGCTGACCGTGCCATGCGTGTAACCGTCATGCTGAACAAGTTCGGTCCGAACCTGTCGGAGCGCCTGCCTCGGGGCAGGTTTGGGCAGTTCCACGTGGTGAACAACTACTACCCGAACGGGTGGGGCATCTATGCCATTGGAGGGAGCGCTGACCCGACGTTTCTGAGCGAGGGCAACTATTTTGTGGCCAATGACAAGCCGTTCCTCAAGGAGGTATGTTTCACTTCTCATGTTGATGATATCAACTTATCTGAAGAGCTCTCTGCTGTGTTCCTGAGTTGGCCTCTTTACACTGCTCTGTCCTGTTCTCTGCTGTGTCTGCTGTGCTGTTTTTGCCTTACTGTACCTCTGCTTCAGGTGACAAAGCACAACATAGCAGCAGGGCAGTCCACGTACATGAGCTGGGACTGGCAGTCTGTAGGAGACCACTTTGAGAACGGGGCCTTCTTCACCAAGAGTGGGTCGCCGGGCTATAAACCTTCGTACTCCTACAAAGCACTTAGTGCTCTAGAGGTGCCACGTGCAACCAATCGTGCTGGCCCTATTGGACAATAGGGCGGTTTGTGACTTGGTGCTGCTAACTTCAACCAGTAAGTGGGGATGGTTGCTAGAAGACTCTGCGCTGCAACTTCTAAAGCTTAGGGTGAGACTAGGATTCTGACAACCATTCCGGCTAAGAGCTAGTTTAGGGGCGCGATAGTGCCTAGTACGGTAATTCAGTAGGCAGGGACAATGATATGGACGTGGTGTTGGAGTAGATTAATGAAATAATAGGGGCATTATTGGGATGGTGTATAAGGCTTGTCAGATATTGCTGGAGGCGCTGTACTCGTGATTTCTTATATATTGTATGGCATTTTTTTGCTGTGAACTGGTATATCGACAGAGAAGGGCCACATAGTTAACAAACACATCCTTATTGGTATTAATTTGATAGTGCATCACTTTCGTAAATTTAGGGCATGTATGCCACTGCAACTGTATGCCTGGTGTCAAAGTGCAGCCCTTTTTAATGCGTACAGCAGCGACGCATCTGTGCTTTCGTTTCTGTCACGCACAACCATCTCCGTCGGATTCGGATTCTCCCGTCAAACCCGAGGCTCTTTCGCACCTCACCCCACCTATTGCAAATTTCCGTCCCGCCTTCCGTCAAAACCTGTCTGATCCCTGACACGCGATCTCTGGTCGTGGAAGCATAAACTGCAGTAGTTACTGCTAGTTAGGTTTGGTCTCTTGCTGTTCAGCTTGTGACTCTAGGGTATTGTGTTTCTACGCGCAGCCGGAGTCTTGATTTAGAAAGCTTGTTTGTGTGGTACTCGTTCCTGTGCTTCCATCTTGGTAGCAAACAAGGCATGTTGTACGCCTGATACGCCGCTGTTATCACGCTCGGGAAAGACCTAGGCTTTTCCCAGGAAAAAGACGTACGTTAATTACCTTACTCGAACGGGATCCACCGAGCCTGCTATCCAACTTTGTAGACTCCGTCGACTGACGAGATTTATTTTCGACGGAGTTTTGTAACAGAGGACATTGACGGAGCCTCGTAACGTAGTCTATTGACGGAGTTTGTTTCTCGTCATGGGAGCGACAAGGAAGCTTCAAGGAGAAATTGACCGGGTGCTTAAGAAGGTTCAAGAAGGGGTAGAAATCTTCGACGGCATATGGAATAAGGTACACAGGACAGGACGAGCTTATCACACCCTCGAATCTTCGTAACATCGTCACCCACTGTTGTTACCATACAAATTAGTCATTCGCCTGTCGTTTTTTTCGCACGGTCATTGGTCTTACCGCAGCCGCTTAGCTGGCGGTTCCAGAACCATTTGTCTCTTTTAGGGTTTCGTTGTTGTCGACCGAGATACTATCGCAGGTTATGTGGTAGTCGATCAATATCGACTCGCATGGAGTAATGCTGGCCACGTGTCGGCCTGTTATAAGATTGCGACTAAATGTGACATCAGCGCTGCGTACTGTGGCCGGTTGAGTGGTCACAGTCGCGTGACATGGGCGTGACGAGTCCACAACATTCTTGTCACTAGTCACATTTACGTCACTTTGAGCCCATGTCTTTTTCACGATGAGGGTTGACACTTTTCCGTGACATTTAACACATGACAAAATAGTCAAGCACATGCAACTTCACAGTGACTTGGGGCTCTGGTTTGTGCAACAGCTGGTGTGTGCTACAGCTGTGTGTGATGTGAATCATTCCGCATGACTCTGGTCGTCTTTTTGACGTCAAGGAAATGCTTGAAGGAAATGCCTGCCTGAAGGAAATGCCTGAAATGGCAAATGCCGGTAGCTCCGTGTCTCTTTCTCCATCTCTGGAATTCTTGGCTTAGTGCTGGCGTTGGCTCGGAAAAGTGCGCGGAGATTCCCTGCTCTTTCCAAGACGTTTCAAGACTCACCGTCTCTCCCCTTTCGCCTCTTCTCCATATCATGTCATGTCTTGTCTGAGGTGTACGACACGGAGAACCTGAATCAGAACGAGAAGAGTTTTCGAATTGACTCAAAAGTCACCGCGTCCGTATCATATCATGTCTTGTCTTGCCTTGTCTTGTCTTGCCTTGTCCCAGGTGTACGACACGGAGAACCTGAACCAGAAGGAGAAGTTCGAGGCGGACTTGAAGAAAGAGATCAAGAAGCTGCAGCGGTACCGTGACCAGATCAAGACATGGATCCAGTCCAGCGAAATCAAGGACAAAAAGGTGAGTCCTACCTAGCCTTCCTTTTGAGTCGCCTCAAAAGTTGACCAGGTTAAGCTATGGATCCAGTGAAGCGAAACCAATGACCAAAAGGTGATTTCTAGTGCTCCACCGCTTCTCTGTTGATGTGCTCGTGTCTTCTGCTCTGCTTTCCCGCATGCGTTCATGGATGGTGCCTGCATTCTCATCTGTCATCATGCATCCTCTATTACTGCCTCAACGTGTCTTCATCGAATGAAGCTCGGATAAGGAGTTCGTTGCGCTGTTGATAGTTAGAATGCTTCAGTTTTCTTTTACTTGTTGTGTTCCCCTTTCCCCCTTCCGCCTTTCCCGGCTTCCCCTGGCTGGCAGGCGTTGCTGGATGCGAGGAAGCTGATAGAGCGGGAGATGGAGCGGTTCAAAGTGTGCGAGAAAGAAATCAGTGCTCGGTATCCTTCCCCCCGCTTCCTCCCCTTGCCCCATCTCCTTCCTCCACCCCGACCTTCCCTGGCTGGCAGGCGTTGCTGGATGCGCGGAAGCTGATAGAGCGGGAGATGGAGCGGTTCAAAGTGTGCGAGAAAGAGACCAAAACGAAGGCCTTCAGTAAAGAGGGGCTTGGTCAACAGCCAAAGACGGTACACTGAAACACCTCTTTCTCTGCTTGCTGTGCTGTGCAGTTCTGCACCCCTGTTCTTTTTCTGGTGGGCGATCTGTTAACTTCTGTTTGTGCTCTGATTGTGTCTCGTGACTTCTCATGCAGGACCCGAGGGAAAAGGCCAAGTCGGAGTCTCGTGACTGGTTGAATCAGATGGTGAGCCTGACCTGCTTTCGTCCTCTGCCGTGCGTTCCTCTTCTATACGACTGTTATACTCAGCTGCTCCGTTCGACCATTATGTCATTCCTTCCTGCACACTTATTCCGGACTGTTCTGTTTCAACATCATCAAACAGAGTGGTGTCCCTTCTTCTTCTGTCACACCACCTTTTCTACGTCTTCTCACACCCTTCCTCATCTCAAGTCGCCTGTGTCACCCTTCACCCCCCTTCCCTCCCTTCGTTCCACTCCCACCCTCCCTGTGCCCCTTGATCCGCCGGCAGGTGAGCGAGTTGGAGTCGCAGATTGACGGGTTTGAGAGCGAGATGGAGGGGCTGCAAGTCAAGCGGGGCAAGCAACGCCCGCCACGCCTGGTAAGCAATGACCTCTGGGACTGGTAGGTACCGCTCCTATTTCTGTTCACCTTTGAGTACTCAACGTACCGTTGCCTGATTGCACTTACCCAGCGCTCCTCTCCCTCGCCCTCTCCCCCCCTTTCCATCCGCTCCCCCCTCCTCCTGCCTGCTTTCTGCGCGGCACAAGGCGCACATCACTCACCTGGCGATGACTTCGCTCCCTCTGAGTGCGCTAATCCAACCCAACACTTCCACTCCTCCCACCCACCCACCCACCCCTACTCATCCCTACCCACCCCTTCCCACCACGGCAGATGCATCTGGAGGAATCAATCACGCGGCACAAGGCGCACATCACGCGCCTGGAGATGATTCTACGGCTTATGGACAACGATGAGCTGAGCCCCGAACAGGTCACGGACGTCAAAGACCTCGTAGAGGACTACGTTGAGAGGAACCAGGTGATTATGGGGTACTGGGAAAGGGGAGATAGGGTGGGAGATTGAGGGAGGGAGGGGGGGATTGGTGTCGGTGGTGTGGTGGTGATTCTACGGCTTATGGACAACGATGAGCTGAGCCCCGAACAGGTCACGGACGTCAAAGACCTCGTAGAGGACTACGTTGAGAGGAACCAGGTGATTATGGGGTACTGGGAAAGGGGAGATAGGGTGGGAGATTGAGGGAGGGAGGGGGGGATTGGTGTCGGTGGTGTGGTGGTGATTCTACGGCTTATGGACAACGATGAGCTGAGCCCCGAACAGGTCACGGACGTGAGAGACCTCGTGGAAGGCTACGTTGAGAGGAACCAGGTGCGTATGGGGGGAGGGGGGAAAGAAGGTAGATGGAGGAGGGAAGGAATTGGTCTCAGAGGTTGAGGGACAATGGCTGAGCCCCGAGCAGGTCACAGATGTGAGAGACCTCGTGGAAGACATGAGCTCTGTGAGGAGTTTGAGAGGAACCAGGTGAGGCGCTGGTGAGGATGCGGATGGGGAAACATGTGATGTGAGGAAGGGTGTGGGGGTCTAGGAGGAATGGGCTCGTTTTGAATCATTTCTGTCGTGCCCTATACCTGATTCCCTCCCTCTTTTTTTGGCACTTCGAATAAAATCTCCTTCTCATCCACCTTCCACCCCCCCGTCCCAACCTCCCCAACCCTCCTTCCCTTCGCCCTCCCCCTTCTCCGCACGTGCCTAGCAGGACGACTTTGAGGAGTTCTGTGAGCCGGACGATCTGTACGAGTCCCACGAGTCTGTACCCGTCGTGTTGCTCTTCCCCCGTCTTCCCCCCACAACCCACGCTCCCCCCTCCCCCTCATGGCCGGCAGGACGACTTTGAGGAGTTCTGTGAGCCGGACGATCTGTACGAGTCTTTACCTCTGGAGAAGATGGACGCACTCGAGTCGCTGGAGTCGGTGCCCATCGTGTCTTTGCCCCCCCAACCCCCACCATTCCCCCTCCGCGCAGGACGACTTTGAGGAGTTCTGTGAGCCGGACGATCTGTACGAGTCGCTGCCTCTGGAGAAGATGGACGCCCTCGAGTCGCTGGAGTCCGTGCCCATCGTGCCTTTGCCCCCCCAACCCCCACCATTCTCCCTCCGCGCAGGACGACTTTGAGGAGTTCTGTGAGCCGGACGATCTGTACGAGTCGCTGCCGCTGGAGAAGATGGACGCACTCGAGTCGCTGGAGTCCGTGCCCATCGTGCCGCAGGCCATTGTGGTCAAGGAGAAGGCTGCTGTCGCTGCTGCCTCGGGCCTCGCCCTGCCCAAGTCTATTCTCACCGCCTCCTCCCTGCCGGTACGTGCATGATGCATCTTATTGCACCGGTCTGCACCTTACTACATCTCATTACACTTTTTCCTGAAGCTTTTCTCCCTGTCTCTCAAAGCTGCCTCCCCTCTCCCCTCTCCCTCCCACCGCCCCATCCACCGTCCCGTTCCTTTCTCCCTTTCTCCACCTTCCCTGCCTGCTTGTATCTCTCCCTAACAATCCAAAGAGATTGGGCCAGCAATAGCACTCGCACATCCCTTATCCCCATCCATTTCTTCCTATCTGACTCTGCCGCCACAGATGATTCTTCCACTCCTAACTCCCAAACCTCTTTCCCGTCAATCTTCTGCTCAATTCCCATCCTGTACTCCCCTGCCCGCCCCTGCACTGCCCCTGCGCCTGCCCCTGCCTCTTTCCCCTCCTCCTCTTCTCCATTCCCCTCCCCTGCGTGCTTCACAGAAATCGGGACCATCAGGAACACTCGCGCACCCCTCACCCCCATCCGTCTCATCTGACACATCTGACTCGGTCGCTACAGATGACTCCTCTTCCACTCATAGCTCCTCCCGCGCTGCTGCTGCTGCAGCCGCCGCCGCTGCTACAGCCGCCCCCCTCCCCGCCACCATCACCACCTCCTCTGCTGCCTCCTCCCGTGCTACAGCCGGCCGTGCTGCTGCTGCTGCTGCTACAGCCAGAGCCGTGACACCTGCTGCAGCAGCAGCAGCAGTGGTAACACCTGTAGCGGGAGCAGGAGTGGTAGCAACAGCGCCTGCTGCTGCAAGCACGGTTACGGTTACCAGCGGTGGGCGAGTAGGGGCGAAGGAAGGAGGTGTGGGGGGAGAGGAAGGGGCAGGAGGGTCAGGGCATGGTATGGCAAGTGTGGGGGGTAAAAGAGTGGGTCCGGGAATAGGGGAAGTCGCAGGAGGGGTGGCAGGGCGGCATAGCAGGTCTGGAGATCTTGGCTCTTCCAATGGGACCGCAGGAGCCATGGCTTCAGGCTCGGCAGGAGGTCCGGCAGCCAGTGCAGCTTCGGCTTCAGCAGCTGCAAAGTCAGGGAAGAAAGGGGCGAGTTTGGCGTCCATTGTTGGTGGTTCTGGCACTCCCGGCGTTGGTACTGCTGGTGCTGCCGCCTCTGCTGTTGCTGCTGGTGCTGCTGCTGCTGGAGCTGTCATTGCGGGCCCAGGGCCTAGGTCCATCACTTCTCCTCCTCCGCCGTTTGCCGTTTCTGGGGCTGCCACACCTGCCGCTGCCGGACCTGCAGGTTCGGCCGTGCCTAGCTACTCCCACGCTGCAGCTGGCGGGGTGCAGCAGCAAGCAGGTGAAGCAGCCACAGCAGCAGCAGGGGCAGGGCTGTTGCCTGGAGTCGGGGTGGCTGCTGGTCAGTCTGTTTCAGGGAGTATCAACGGAGCTGTGGTTGGTGTTAATGGCACTAATGGACTGGCAACAAGACCTCCCTTGCTCTCTATGGGCTCTTCTCCCGTCCCTCCCTCTACCCTTGCTTCTGGTCCCACGCAATCCAGTGCAGTGATGTCCACTGGCCTAGCTCCGGGCGGCCTCGTTCGTCCGTTTGCAGCCGCAGCAGGTGGGGCACCAGGTGCCTCGTCAGGTGCTGCTGATGCCACAGCCGCAGCAACGGCTACACCAGGCTCGTCCATCCTGTCATCTGGCCTTCCCGGAGCAGCAGGCTCGGCGGCAGGCCTCGGAGTCGGTTCGGTGGGAGGTTTGGCGCCGCCAGGTTCGGCAGGCACAGGAATGATGATGCCAGGCGTAGGCGGCGTGGGAGGGGTGGGACAGGGAGGGGTGGGAGCAGGGCTGGGAGCAGCAGCAGCGAATGTGCTGAGCGCCCAGCAGAGGATGTTCAATGCGGTGGGGGCACAGTGGAGACCGGGCCTTCCCAGTTCAGCGGCTTTCCAGCAGCTGCAGGGAGGCGTGGCTGCTGCTGATGGCTCTGGCGGGCTGTCTGCTCTCCCTGCTGGGGTGCGCTTCCCTCCTGGGGTAAGTGCATTGGAAGCCCTGGTTGGAATGGTGTTTTAGGCGTCTGAAATGCTTTCCAGCAGCTGCAAGGAGGCGTGGCTGCTGCTGATGGTTCCGGGGGTCTGTCTTCTCTACCTGCTGGGGTCCGTTTCCCTCCTGGGGTAAGTCGATTGGAACCATTGCTTGGCTTCCTGGCTTGGAATAATGAGCGTTGATTGAGATAGGCATACACTTTGCGGGTCTGACGACTTGAATTCAAAGCCTTTCCTCTCGCCCTTGTGCCTCCTTGCCCTTCCTTCCTTCCCCATTCCCCACTGGCGCCAGTTTCATTTGCTTCCTAGCTCCGCACCTTCCCAGCAGCCCTCGTCTTTGCTCCTCTTCTCTACGTCTCTTCTTCTTTGCTCTTTTTCTTGTTTACCCTCCCATTGGCGGCTTGCACCAGTTCTAGCTGCTTCCCACCCCGGCACCTTCCCACTAATCCTCCTCGTTTCCCTCCCCATTTCCCATCCCGCAGTTCCAGCGCACGGAGACAGCTCCGGACCAGAAGCAGAGGTAAATCACCCGGTTTCAGCAGGTGCAGCAACAGGGGGTCACTGCTTCCCACCCCTGCACCTTCCCAGTAACCTTCCTCTCCCCCTTCTCCATTCCCTGTCCCCCATTCTCCCTTATTTCCAGTTTCAACTCACTGAAATTGCGCCAGACCAGAAGCAGAGGTACATCACCCGGTTTCAACAGGTGCAGCAGCAGGGGGTCACTGCTTCCCACCCCTGCACCTTCCCGGTAACCTTCCTCTCCCCCTTCTCCATTCCCTGTCCCCCATTCCCCCTTATTTCCAGTTTCAACGCACTGAAATTGCGCCGGACCAGAAGCAGAGGTACATCACCCGGTTTCAACAGGTGCAGCAGCAGGGGGTCACCGCTGCTGTCATGGCTGCCGCTGCTGCCGCCGCCGCTGCTGGCGCAGGCTCGGCAGCAGGTTCGGGAGCATCCCTTGCTGGTTCGACGTCGGCAGGGAACTTGGCATCTCCGTTGCTGGCCATGCAGCAACATCCTGTGGTACAATCTTGCCCTGATTTGGTGTTGTGCATCTTGTGTTGGTGTGCTGTGTGGTATGCTTTTGATGCATGCCTGGAAATGAGTCGGTTCTGCCCCCTGGCATGGTGCTGTGCTTTCTATGCTTCAAGAATTTTCTGGCTCTGCTCCCTCGCATGTTTGTTGCTTGCTGGCCGTGATGTTGTGTGCATAGAGTTTCTTTTCTGACATAGGATGCTGTATGGTACGGTGTGCTGCGAAGCACCGCATTGCACCGCATCCCACCGGATTATTCATCCATGGCATTGCACAGCACCTCAGTATTCTCTGATGTGGAGGCCCCATGTGGCTGCAAGATGTGATGCTGTGTGACACGGGAATGGAACACTGCACCGTGACATGTGGCTTACTTCGGTGCAATGCGGTGCTTTGCGATTCAGAGCAGTGCAGTATGCGGTAGGGTGCAATGCCCGTGCCGTCGCTTTTAACCTTTCATCCCTGTGCCAGTACATGCCTTTTCCGCCCTACCGTGCCCATACCCTCGCCACCGTCCAGCTGTCCCAGTCGCCTCTTCCCCCGCAGCAGCAGCAACAGCAACAACAAATGCAACAGCAGCAGCAGCAGCAGCAGCAGCAAGTACTAGCATCTCAATCATCAGCAGCAGGAGCTGCAGGGGTGGGGGCAGAAGGACAGGCAAGGCAGGGTGGAGGGCAGGAAAAGAGTGAGGATCAGACGCAGGGGCAGGCACAACTGAGGCAGGTGGGCTTGGGGATGAATGGGCCTCAGTCACAGCAGCAACAGCAGCAGCAACTACAGCAGCAGCAACAACAGCAGCAGCAACAACAGCAGCAGCAACTACAGCAGGAGCAACTACAGCAGCAGCAACAACAGCAGCAGCAGCAGCAGCAGCAACAAGAGGCAAAGATTGGAGAGGCACAGCAGCAGCAGCAGCAGCAGCAACTGGAGCAGGAGAAGCAACAGCAGCAGCAACAGCAACAGCAGCAGCAGCAGCAGTTGCAGCAGCAGTTACAGCAACAGCAGGCAGCAGGCGTATCTGGGGAAGGCAGCATGGATCCCCAGCAACAGCAGCAGCTGCTTCTGCTACTCCAGCAACAGGAGCATCAGCGCTTGCAGCAACAACAACACCAACAGCAACAGCAGCAGCAGCGGCTTTTGCCTTCCCCTCCCCCTCTACTCGCTCAGCAACAGCAGCAGCAGCAGCAGCAGCAGCAGCAAATGGGGCACATGGCAGGAGCAGGGGCAGTAGGCCCCTCTATGCTGCCCTCTGCCGCCCAATCCTCCTTCCCCCAACCATCCTCCTCTGCCCCACCAACCACCACCGCCTCTCTCCCTGCAAATGCCCTCTCGTCCGCCACAGCTGCTGCTACAGCCGCCGGAGCCGGTGCTTTTGCTGGTGCATCGCTCTCAGCACCAGGGGTCATCGGAAGAAAGCAGGGGGGTGCGGGGATGGGCGACGCAGGGCCGATCAGCGACCCCATGTCTCTAGCCGCTGCTGCTGGTTCTGGCAACGCAACTGGAGCAGGAGGAGCAGCAGCAGGAGCGGGAGCAGTGGGAGCAGTGGGGGCAGTGGGAGCGGGAGGGGGGGGGCAAGGAGGAGGAGGAGGAGGAGGAGGAGGAGGAGGAGGAGCAGTAGCAGCAGGGGCACCGGTGGATCATGCACTGAATCTGGCTCTGCTGGATTCGTCCTTTGGAAACTTGCCACAGCCCAAGGACTCGGAACGACCCAGGGCCTACATTCCGGTGAGTTGGTGTGCTTGCCGTATTGCATGTCAAACGAAGGAAGGGGCCTCTTAGATTGCATTGCTGGAGCTGCTATTGGCTCGCTGTATGCTCCTACCCACCGTCCCCCTCCGTCCCCCCATGCCCTCCCCCTCTCCCTCTGCCACTCTCTCCCCTCCAGCGGAACCCTGCCGTCACACCTTCCAGCTACCCCCAGGCGCCAGCAGCAATGCTAGAGTTGCTATCGCCTCTTACATTCTCTCCCTGAAACTCCCCCCCACACGCTTCCTCTCCCCTTCAGAGGAACCCCGCCATCACGCATGCCAGCTACCCCCAGGCGCCAGCAGCAGTGCTGGAGCTGCTATTGACTCGCTTGCTCCCTCCTTCTCACTCAACCCACCCTTCCCACCCCCCCCAACACCCTTCCTCTCCCTTTCAGCGGAACCCTGCCATCACGCCTGCCAGCTACCCGCAGGCGCCAGCAGCAGTGTTGGAGCACCCAGGGCTGTGGGAGCGGCTGGACATGGACGTGCTCTTCTTCGCCTTCTACCACCAGCAGGTATGCGAGTGCGCGAGTAACCGTGTGGTTACCAGTATTAGGCGCAAATGTCGAGAAGCACCCAGGGCTGTGGGAGCGGCTGGACATGGACGTGCTCTTCTTTGCCTTCTATCACCAGCAGGTATGCACAGGGAACAATACGCTGGTGATGTCACCAGTGATACATTTCATGCATCAGGTGGTTGGGTTGGGCTGGTTTGGTTACAGTACGTGGTCTTATAACTGAATCGAGCACCCAGGGCTGTGGGAGCGGCTCGACATGCATGTGCTCTTCTTTGCCTTCTACCACCAGCAGGTATGCACGAAGTGCGTGTGCAATATACCCTGGCCTTCTCCATCCCCCTCCATCCCCCACTGCGTCCCTACCTGCCCGTCCACCCCCCTCCACGAGGGCACGTACCAGCAATACCTGGCTGCTAGGGAGCTAAAGAAGCAGTCGTGGCGCTACTACAAGAAGCACAACACGTGGTTCCCTCCTTCCGTGCCCTTCCGTTCCCCTCTCGACAACCCCGTTCCCCAATCCCTGTCCACCAGGGCACGTACCAGCAATACTTGGCCGCGCGGGAGCTGAAGAAGCAGTCATGGCGCTACCACAAGAAGTACAACACGTGGTTCCAGCGGCACGAGGAGCCCAAGCTCACCACTGACGACTATGAGCAGGGCACCTACGTGTACTTTGACTTCCACATCGTGCATGACGACTATCAGACCGGATGGTGAGAGCACCGGATGGGGTGATGCGAGTGTGGAGAGATTGAGAGAGAGCAAGAGAGCAGTGTGAGCAGGGCGCCTACTTGTACTTTGACTTCCACATCGTGCATGACGACTACCAGACCGGATGGTGAGAGAGAGAGAGAGGTTGGGCATTGTGAGAGCATGCAGTTGGTGGTAGAGGGGGTGGTTGAGGAAGTGAGCACTATGAGCAGTGCACCCATGTGTATTTTGACTTCCACATTGTGCATGATGACTATCAGACTGGATAGTGAGAGGATGGGAATGCGGTTACTGGGACTGGTGTTGGGGTGATTGAGTTCCTCCCCCAGTTCCCCTTCACCTGTCCTGGTCTCTCCCCCCTGGTAAGTAGACTCTGGTCCCGTTCAGTTTTGTCATATTGTCTAGCGTGAATTGCAATCCCTGTGGGACGTTTGCCAGGTGTCAACGGATCAAGACGGAGTTTACATTTGAGTACAGCTACTTGGAGGATGAGCTGCCTGCTGCTTAACAAGACAAAAGCTGTAGAAGAAACGTCCAGAGCACGGGCCTGTCAGGTGTCAGCGGGTCAATACGGAGTTCACATTTGAGTACAGCTACTTGAAAGATGAGCTGCCTGCTGCTTAACAGGATGAAAAGCTGTAGAAAGTCAAAGCACATGCCTGCCTAGCTTCACAATGGCTTTGCTGACCTAGTTGGCTTCTGCCATTCTCTTTAGTTGGGAAGCATGCATGTTTTACTCTCTGCGCGTTGCTTCTGTTTTTTAAACAGCATTATTTATCCATGAACACTGACAGCTTGTGTGTTTTGTGGGATTTTTTTGGCTTGGTTGACTTTCAACCATTGACAAGGATGATGTGTCTTGAATTGAGATCTAATTCAAGTGTCCGATCTTTCAGTTTTTGTTTTGGGCCTTTGGTTGAACCCAGGAGTCACATGACAAACATACACTCTCCCACCTTTTTTTACGAGTGCCTGGTTGTCTTCCACTATTTCCAATTTACTTGGAAACTCTTCGTGAGTCTGCTTGCTTTTATTGTAATTCCGACAATGTTTCGACTGTTACTGTTCGTGGAAGGATCTTTTTGCGCGGGATGGTGTGTGGACTGGTATAGCTTTTCCGTCTTGCCTTCTATTGGGCAGTTGACTCCACGAAATACGGAGACAATGCGAGGGATGAAAATCATCTGCTTGTATGCATGCAACCAGGTGCATGGAAGTTTTCCCCATGTGCCGCAATCATTATTTCAACTCGATTGCGGTGCTGGGAAAGCTTAAGTGAAACATTTTCACTTTGAAGGTGGTTCTAATGCAGTATTCCTGCACGTAGTGTCCATTGACTATTGTGTTCTTCAGTCCCCTTCTGGTGTTTTTTTCTCCCTTCGTGTGTACATGGATGGATGCCTCAACATCGCCATTGCTTCTTTTCGTTTACGTACCCGTCACATGGAATCCTGGTGGATGCTGTTACGCTTTCGAGGGCCCCAGGGTCCTCGGAGGTTTCGCCGTGTTTTCTGCAGCGATGAATCTCAACCCCTATCAACCGCCGTCGATGTCAGTGCTCACGTGTAGAGTAGATTCTAACTGCAGTTTTCGCCATGAGGCGAGTGTCATGTTGGATGGACATGCACTGCGCAAAGCGGGGGAGCTTTGGGGAGGCTGGTTGGGGGGAGGGTTTGGGGTGTTCGGGTTTTGGAGGGGAGGCATGGCCGTAGACACGAGCGAATCACGATAAGGGTTCCAACTTTCTGGCGTTCGGAAGGCTGCGCCTCCCCACTATTTTGGAGTCTAAACGCCCGCACGGATGAAGCACTCGCCTCTCGGCACTCCGAATGGACAGCCGCAGCAACTCGTTTTGTTGCTTGCTCTGCCCAGGCGAAAGGACAACAATCAAGGTCAGTAGATTGTGACTCAATTTAGCCACCAGTGTCCTTTTTTTCGCCTTTCACTTTTCTTTGACTTTGTCTGGGCAGCAATGCCACGCACGAATATCTACGAGATTCGGGTACCGGGCGACAATTGCGCAGAAACTCTGCCACCTGGTTCGGGGCGGAGCTCGCTCGCTGCGGAATGCTCCCGCAAACAGCCCACCAAGGTCCCAAGGATGGCGGAAGAACACTGTTTGCGCGGAGCAGATTTTCCCCAAAACCCCAACCAAGTCAGCCTCGTAAGCAGGGACGAGCAGAATGTTCCGCCCAGCCGAGAAAACATCTTCCAACAGTGAGGGGGAGATTATCAGGGAGACAGAGGCAAGGGGGGGGGAGAAAGAGAGGAGAGGTAAAGCGAGCAGCGAGAGGAACCTAAAACAGGGGGGGAGAGGAATCCAAACAGTGTTTTGCTTCACACCACCAGACCAGACCTCTTCGTTTCAGCAGCTCTGGTAACCTCGCTTGAACTTCGTCAGTGGAGCAGCCAAATTCCTGAAGTTGGTCGGTTTCTCCCAAGCAGTAGAGCAGAATTGGGTCTTGGAAGAGTGAAGGCAGTGGCAAGACGTGAGATCATTCAGCCAATACAGTTCGCGAGACGCCTTTCTGCTGACGACTACTGTGCTGAATAACTGCTTGTCCTGTCCTAGTTCATTTTGCTCAGTTATCTTTATTGTTAGCGTCTGCTCGTATTCTGGAGAAGGGTTTTGGAGGATACTGCCTTACAACCGTCCTTTCTTGGGGTATTGTTGTTGGTAGTCAGTCCCGGAGTATTTAGTCTTACGGGGTCGATGATTAAGATTCAGTGAAGGCCGCTGCACCCTAGTCCAGTATCCCGCAAAAACGTTCCTGTCTCAGCAGCCTTTTAATTTTCGTCTGTTAATCCGTCAGGTATGGCCGATGCGATGCTCGCAAGAAGCATTTCAGCTCCGCATCTGACCCCAGTTCAAGCGGGATCTACCAATGGACGAGAAGCGGATAAACTCCGAGATGCAGCTAGCCCATCTTTCCATTGCTCCATGGTTTCCCCTCGCGGAGGCCTGGCCAGTCATCAAGCCTCCCGTTTAACCTGGAAGCGTAGCAACGCTTCTGCGCCTCTAACATCCTCTACCCCTTGGTTTTCTGAATTCTCGGCCACATCAGCAGCTCAGTCTTCTCGGAGCTTGTTTATCGTTTCTGAGATGGACTCGTCTCAGAAGGAAGACTGCGAGTTTCGCCGTATCGTATCAGTTCCTGAGCTCCGGACCCCGGATAACCACTCGCAGCAAAGTGCAACCCCAACAGACTCTGCGGACCGTCAGAAGGGCAGCAGCAGGAAAGGAAGAAGTTGGCCTTTCTCTTCGCAAGAAGCTTGCAACCCTAATTCATATCCGTCTGACCATCCACCCATGCCGTTCCCACTATCCGACCCTTCGTTCTTCAAGCATCCTTCCTCGCCTCCATCAACCCCTCTACTTAGATCTCCACGCAAAGCTACATCCTCTTCATCACCTCCTTTCAAGACGCCGTCGCTGTTTCCCTTGGAGCCTTTAGCCGGTATGCCTTGCAACAGAAGAAATCAGAACGACTACGCCAGCCTGGAATTCTTCACCAACGGCGCTGACGAGATGCAGATGCGAGGACTTTTCGCAGGATCTCACCCAGAGATCTACCAGCGTCTACCGGAAGACCAAGGATCTCGACCGTTGCTTGATCTCGGCCTCTCCGATGTTGCTCGGAGCGAGCAGGTTGATTCGTCTGCTTCCTTCAGCGTAGCCGGTGAAACTTTTCCTGTTGTTTGCCAAGGGACGCCGAATCTTGGGAGGGAGTCGAAAAACGGAGTTAGTTCTGCGTCAGGCACGTCTTCTGCAGACGTCGAGGCCATGGAAGCTCATTATGTCACCGCTCTGGCCAAGGATCCGAAAGATCCGCTCCTCCTTCGCAACTTCGCGCGATTTCTTTACGAGGTGAATATCTTGTTTCAATTTGTTATTTCGATTGTTCGTCGATTTTGTCAATTCTTTCTGTGTATGTTGTCTGTCTGTGTTTCTGACACTGAAATTTCATCGGGATCTTCTCTTTTCAGGTCAAGGGAGAACACGAAGAAGCTGAGAAACTCTTCGAGCGCGCTATAACCGAAGCTCCTTATGACGGGGAACTTCTGGTTCAGTACGCGAAGCTCCTATGGGAAGGCATGGGCGATGCAAATAAGGCCTCCATTTTCTTCGAGCGAGCAGTCAGCGCTGCACCCCAGGACTGGTAAGCACCCTCCGTATCGTTCGTTTGCAACATTGTACACTGGCTGATGGTTTTGGGAGTTGTGATTCGCAATATCTTGGGAGTTTTACTTCCTTAATGCCCTTTTCTTGCACTCACTCTCCCCCCGTTGCTCATATCCCGCCTCGTTTCTGTCCTTGCAGTTATGTCCTGGCTGCGTATGCATCCTTTCTCTGGAATTTCGATTCCCTGCCTGAGGAGAACACCAGCGTCATGGCTCCTGCTCCTCCGTTCCTCCCCGCCACATCTGCTGGTTGCGGATAATTGCTCCAAAGTTTGGCCGGTATATTGGATCCACCAATCAACTCAGCTTTGACATTGTCGGAGTTTTCAGTAGTGCCAATTTCAGCCTTCGCCGAGGCAGCTACCGGTAATATTGCAACGTCTTCCATGGCATACTGCATTGAAGCCTGCCAGCTGCCAGCTCCTGATCTTTCATGGCGTGAAATGCAACATTGCTGGAAGGACAATGTGTGACGTCAACCTGAAGAGCATCAGCCAGTTGCTGCATGGTTGACTTGAGGCTCAGGCTTTGGTGGGCATGCTGCCAACCATGCCTTGGCTCTTTATTATACACGGGCCCCCTCCACTTAGGGATTATAGTACAGTAACAGGTGCGTATCATGGCTGAATTGGTATTTCTTTTGCTACTGTTGCACCTGTCTGAGGCGTAGCTTGTGTGGGTGTGGGGCCCCTATGGTATGTTGTCATGAATGGAAGGCATGAATTGTTTTATAAAGAAACACTATCTCATTGTGAAATTTTGAACAAAACTGGTATGGTGCCTCAATTGTAGGAAAGGAACAAATTCAATTGGAGGACCTTATTTTGGCGTGACCAGCCTTTTTTTTTTTAGCAGCTGGTACCACTACACGGTACAGTAACCGCAGTTGTGTTATGTAAAGTGCGAAGCTGTTAGCACTAAAGCCATAAGTGTATGTAAATACTAGATAGGAACGAACTGGGTTCTGTTATGATTAAAATTAACAAAATGATGCAACCTCCCGCTTTAGTGTCTGAAGTTGGTTAGTGCAGTACGTATCCTGAACCTGGGGTAGGAACAACACCAGTAACTGCAGCAGCACCACTACCTGCCAGCCTCCCTCCCACTGACGACAGTCAACCACCTGTTCATTTGAGAGCAGTACAACGCCCAGACACTCGACCAAGCCACAGAGTACAAGTTACATACCACCACCCATCAGTGAAGCACGCACACTGCAGATAAAATCCCATGTTGCTTGTGCGATCTCTCAACCAATATCGCTCTCATGACGCTGTAGTGATTCCCTCCATAGCAGACACGCCAGCATTCACAGCAACAGCAGCCACACCCCCGGCAGCAACACCAGTAGCAGCTGCCACCACTGCACTGCTCTGTCCAGAAACCTCCATGGCACCGGCGTTCAGCACTCCTGTTGCTGCCCCAACCTTCTTGTCAGTCTCACTCTCTCCTCCCCCCCCTCCCGCACTAACACCGCTACCTGCTGCCGTCACCCCTATTCCTCCTGCTGCTACCCCACCACCTGCAGCACGTTCTGCCCCACGCTCCTCCACCTCTTCCATTTTCACACATGGGGATCTCACTCCCCCGTCTCCTCCTGGTGCTGCCGCCGTTGCTGCTCTTGCTGCTAAGGTAGGGGAGGCAGAGGCACCTGCTCCTGCTGACACTGCTGCTGCTGCTGCTGCTGCTGCCCCTCCTCCTCCTCCTGCCACAACCACTCCTGCTGGTGCTGGCACAGGCGACCCAGTTTGACCCCCACCAACTCCCCTAGAAGGTGAATCACCAGCTCCAGGCAATGTAGCCACTCCCATGCCTCCTGTTCCTGCACCAGTGGACCCACCAGCAGCACCAGGACTCATGGCAGGAGCAGCCTGACTGGTAAGAGTAGCTGCAGCAACTGGGGTGGGAGACCCAGCGGCAGCAGCGGCAGGAGAAACAGGTGCTGCCACAGCTGCAGGGGCAAGAGCAGGAGAGGAACCAGGAGCTGATGTTGCTGCTACTCCCCCTCCTGCTGCAGCTGTTGGTCCCGTCATCTGTATAGAGCCAACCTTCACATCCATGTCGCCTTCCCCACCATCTCCCCCTCCTCCTCCCCACTCTCCTCCTCCGCCACCGCCTCCTCCTCCTCCCCCTCCTCCTCCCCCTCCTCCCTCCCCTCCTCCTCCCCCCCCACCTCCTCCTCCTCCCTCCCCTGCACCACCCCCCTCACCACCTCTCTCCTCCCCCCCACCTTCCCCTTTCCCCTTGGACATCATATTGGCTAGCCCCAGAGGCATCAGGCACAGCCCCTTGCTCTGCAGGTACTGCATCGCTGCCCCCATGTCCTGCTCCATTAATAATGCCACCTGCAATACAGCAAGCACGATAGAGGGAGGATTCACAGGGGTGGACAGGCAAACAAGACCATATAAGAAGCAAGCCATGAGGCATAGAGACCCTTGCTCTGCAGGTACTACATTGCTGCCCTCATATCCTGCTCCATCAGCAATGCCATCTGCAAGAACGACAGAGACAGGTACACAGGTAAACAACAGCCGACTAGGAGGAAGGCACAGGTATTGCAGACAGGTATTGCAGACAGGTATTGCATGGCTGCTCCCATATCCCGCTCCATCAGCCATGCCATCAGCAATACAGCAAGTTACAAGCAGGAGTGCGCACAGGTATGAGGGCAACCCACGTTTACGGTAGCTTACCTGTCGTTTACGGTAGCTTACCTGTCGTTCTGGGAAACTCACCTCGTGTTCAGTGCAGCTCAATCATCGATTGAAGTGACTCACCTATCCTTTCAGCCAACCCACCTGTCGTTCCATAAGAGTAAGCTCCTGCTGGGAGAAGGATGAGAGACCATCGTCGATTTCCTGCAGCAACGAGCACCGGGGCAGCAGCAGCAAAAGGAAGAATCACGAGCAGGAGCAAAGGAGAATTAGATGAAGAAGCAAACAAGGGAGCAGCAGGAGCACGGGGGGAGAAGGAGCAGGAGCAAGCAAGGGAGCAGAAGGATGGGGAAAGCAGAACCCAAGGAAGGGGCAGAGGAGTGGGACACTAAGACTAGTTGTTTATTAACCTCCCCACACCTCCCCATACGTCTACTTCCCCACACCTCCCCACACCTGTGCATACCTCGGGGTTCAAATCAGCAAGCAGAGTGACCACGGCGTCTGCTGCAGGGCCTGCCAGGCGGTTCAAATTGAGCACCTGTAAAGGGGGGGAGGAGTGGAAGAGCGAGAGGAGACGAGAGGAGGGCGAGAGCATCGGGAGAGGAGGGCGAGATGAGGAAAGAAGAGCACATTCTGAGGAGCCCGGACGAGAGTGAGCAGGCCATTGATTGCTGGGACGGTCAGAAGGCTCGATCGAGAACCTGAAAATGGTGAGAGCACTTGACACAGACCACATCCAGCATCGATGCCTTGTCCACCCGATTGGAGAGAGAGGAGAGACGCAGAATGGTGGGGTGGGGAGAGAAAGAGCGGGAGGAGGAGAAAAAGGCAACCGCCCACCTTTTGAAATTCAAAGAGGCGCGGCGCACCCACCATGACCTGAAAAGAGGCGCACCCACCTTGACCTGCAGCTGCAGGAACTTGACATAGTCGATTATGTCGTCCAGCATTGACGCCTTGTCCACGCGATTCGAGTTGGGCACCAGGTCCTGCAGCGCCCTCATGCGCTCCGCTATGCGCTCTCGGCGCAACTGGCAGATGGGGGGAGGGGGCGGGGCGGGCGGGGGAAGGGGATGGACGAAGGTGCGTAAATGAGAAGTCACTCGAGTTGGGCACCAGGTCCTGCAGGGCCCTCATGCACTCTGCTATGCGCTCTCGGCGCACCTGATAGATTGGGCATAGGGGAAGGCAGACGGAGGGACAGACGGGGCAGGTGGTTGGAAACAGAGGGTGCAGAGAGATGCAGAACGAAGGTGCACGATGGGAGCAGACGTCATAAATCCCCCCTCTCCCTTCGCTCGCTCCCCCCTTCCCTCCCTCCCCCCCTCCTTCCCTCCCTCCCTCCTCCCCCCCCCTCCCTCCTCCCTCCCTCCTCCCTCCCTCCCTCCCTCCAATCCTCCCTCACTCACTCTCTCTGCAATACTGTGAGGGTCCGTTGCTTGCCCTCGTCTCGCCCTCGCCCTGGGTTTCCCCCCTCCCCCCCCTCCCCCTCCTCCGCCTCCCCCTCCCCCTCCGCCTGCACTCCCGCCCGCTCCCCCGCTCCCCTGCGCGCCTCCCCCCACTCCCCCCGCGCCAGCACTCGACTGGGACGGCATGAGAGAGGGAGGGGCGGCGCCGGCGGCCGGATTTGTCTGCATCTGAGTGTGCGGCTGGGGTAGAGAGCTGGGCGGCTGTGACATCCCCTGGTGGAAAGAGGAGGAGGAGGTTTGCAAGGCGGGCTGCTGATGCTGATGCGACTGCTGGTGCTGCTGCGGATGAGGGGAAGGCGCGTGGTGGGACATGGGGGGCGGTTGCTGCGGCTGCAGGGGACCCGCACGTTGCGGTGGCACGGAGTTGGGGTGCTGCTGGCCTTGCATGGGCGGCGGATTTGATACGAGCCCGTTGAATGCCGGGGCTGGCGGGGTGTCCTGAGCCTGGCAATGCGAAAAGACGGGGAAGAGCAAGGGGAAACGGGGAGGGTAGTGGGGGAACGGGGAGGTAAGGAGAAAGCGAGAAGGAGAGAGAGGTGGGGTAAGTGGAGGGGTGGATCAAACGATTTTGTTGAGCGCTGGGGAGGGAGACAAGGAGAGGCGAGAAAGGGAGGGGGAAGCGGTGATTAAGGGAATGGGAGGGGAAGAGGTAGACGGGGGTGGGGGACGGGGACGAGGTAGTTATGGGACCTTCATTAGCAAGCTATAGTGGGAGAATGGTGGAGACAACTCAATATCCGTTTTGAAACATCTCAAATTACGTCAAAGAGTAAAATCCTAAAACTCACATGCGGTTGCTGTCGGAACAGAGGCACCTTCAGACCCATCCCGGGACCCACTCCCACCCCCTCCCCAACCCCGTTATGAGGCGCCTCAAAACTGGTCAAAAGGTGGAATGAAAGAACTCACATGTGGTTGCTGCCGGAACTGAGGCACCTTCAGACCCATTCCGGGCCCCACTCCCGCTCCCCCTCCCGCCGGCCCCACTCCCCCTTGCGGACCCAACATCTGCCCCCCCTGTCCGGGGGGCACTCCCCCCGGTCCCCCCGGCGCAGGGCCCCCCGGACCAGGGGGAGCCACTCCTTGCGCGCCTGGCGCCCCCGCGGGAGCGCCAGGTCCGCCAGGCCCCGTCGGGCCTCCGCCAAGTCCCCCCGCGGGAGCTCCGCCGGGGGGGGCTCCGCCGCCTGCGCCGGTAAGTCCGAATCCCGCCGCCACGCTCGTCAGCAGCGAGCCTTGCGCTGCGCGCTGCTGCAGCAGGCGCAGCAACGTGGCGTCGTCTAATTGGCCCGCCAGCAGCGCCACCTGCGCCTGCACGTCCGCGGGCTGCTGTTGCTGCGCGGAAGCAGGCGCGCCGGGGGCTCCCCCTGCGCCAGGAGCTGCGCCGGGGGGAACGGGGGAGACACCCATGGGGCCGAGGAGGCCCGCCGTTGCGAGAATGCGCTGGCCGGGCGTTGCGCCCTGAGTGTGGGGGAGGGGCGAGGGAGATGGGGAGGGTGGGGGGAGGAAAGGAGGGTGAGAGGGGGGAGGAGGGGGAAAGAGAAAGCTAAGTAAAGGGAAAGCGAGGTGAGCGGAGGGGTATGGCGGGATCGACATCAAGGGGGGTGGGTTCGTGCAGGCCCGCCGTTGCTAGAATGGGCTGGCCGGGCGTTGCGGCCTGAGAGTGGCCAAGGAACGGGAATGGGGTAGAGGAAGGGGAGAGAGGCGAGAGAAAGGAAGGTGACGGAAGTGGGTGTGGTGAGCGGAGCGGAATGGCGGAATCCATATCAGGAGAATTCGAATCTTGTATGAATCCGCATCAGAACAAACCGACTTATGCACATCCGTTTATGGCACATACTGAGGCTATCCCTGGCGGCTAAGGGCAAAGATGCCTTTCGCAAACGTTACAAACGTGGAAGTGGAAAGAGTTCCACGGATTGTTCAGTGTATAAAAAACAGCAGAATAACAAACGATGAAGACTTGCCTGATAAGAGCCAAAGTTTTCCGACATTCCTTGACCAGAGGAGGCATTCCCGCTGTTCCAGTTCTGTTGTTGCGGTTGCTGCTGCTGCGGCTGGAACTGTTGTTGTTGCTGCTGCTGTTGCATGTACGGTTGTTGCTGCTGCTGCGGTTGCTGTTGCTGGGGTTGCTGTTGATACGCCATCTGTTGTTGCTGCGGCTGCTGCTGCTGCTGCTGGTATTGCTGGGACTGTTGCTGCTGCTGAGGAGGCTGGTATTGCTGCTGACCTGAGTGTTGGTTGTAACCGTCCATTGATACTTGACGATTAAGCCACTTTCGATTGACTTGGAAAGTAGATTATAAGAACACGCAGTCAGAAAATAGTTCAGGACAATAGTACCCTTCTAACCGCTTTCCGTTCCCAAATCGGGAACGTTTTTAACCTAAACGCGAGAGCCAAGACCAAGCGTGCGAGCATACGCGAATGCTCGAGCATACAGACACGGGAAACCTCTTACTACTAATTGATTTGAGAGGATTCTGAGAATAAGTGATCAAAACAGGGCTCTTGCGACTTGCTCATTCAACAGAATCCTAAATATAAGCGGTGGAAGAGAGTTTTGAGAGACTTCACGAGGTGTAGAGCCATCCCTCAGAAGGGACTCTAAGTACTTCTTAAAAAACACTTATTATCCAATGAAGTCATTCCTACAACTGAACGCTGGCAGCTGGTTAGGGTTGATGCGGTGGCGATAAGGGAGCGCCAGAGGGAGGAGGTGGATGATGGATAGGTGAGGTCAGTAGATAATGGCGGGAGAGCTGGAGAGGTGAGGAATCTGAGAGGCACAAGGTAATTTGGAGGGTACTGAAATTGGAGAAGAGAGGTGGGGAAAACGGACCAGACGGACTTGGGACAATCCCGATGGGGTTCATTGAAGTTTTGTCACGGTTGAACACGGTAAAGTTGGATCATCGCTTTTGAGCGCATCACATCGAACACAACCGTGCTACATCGAATTGGGAAAAGAACATACCGTAGCAGCCCAAACAGAAATGTCAGGAGAAACTCTGATGGGTTACTGTAGTCATGTTATGCGTCGCGGGGTTCTGGTTCTGGGTCTAACGGTTGGCTCGGTGGTGCTGACGCTGAAATCAGCTCGTCACAGACGGTCACGACTTTACAGCCTGCCCAAAAACAACATGGTACTACCACCTGGTTTGATTGTCGGAACGTGTAGCTAATTCACACGGTTGTGATTGGCTGGAAGATGTAAATGACACCGAAAGGATGACCAACATGCGTTGTTGTGGAGACGGCGACCGTCAGCTAGCGAATGAAGTGTCCTTGTCGTTTTCCATAGCCGGGTTCGCTAGCCCCACCCCATGCAAATTTCGGAAAGCAGTACGCTTGTCCACCAGGCTGGGAAAGGAAAAGGACTGCCTGCCATTCTCATTTCAAGGGAGAAGAAAAGGAGGCAGTTTCCGTTTCGTTTCTTCCCGCCATTTCCCAGCGCCTCGACCACCACAGACGCGTGTCAGACGCAACCACAAAACCCAACAGTTCAGTACAAAGCTTGAAAGCTACACCATAGATATATATACCCTACATAGTTATCCTGCTTTCAAAATTAGTAGCCCTATAAGTTAAACAGATGCGTCTATCAATCATGCATGCTACTTAACCATCAAAATACTGAACTATATATGATTTTGTCTCTTGACTTTTCACACTACTGAAACCTGGAAAGCATACCGTAAATATCAAAAGATAGTTGGATAAAAGTTTTTGTTGATTTAAAATACAGTGACTTACAGAACCATCCATGCGGCCTAGGTGGTTGAGAGCATGTTTCGTACTCAACGGAGTTTCCTGGGCCTCGATAACAGTTTCTACTACCTGACCCGACCTGACCAATATCGCAACCTACTTTTCGCCTGAGTCCCTATTGTTTCTCTCTCGAACCGCGGAAATTCGGTAGTTCATGATTGCTTGTTTGCCTCTTGCCACGACTGTGTGTTTCGCCATAATGTTAGCCGAGTTAAGTTAGTCAATGCGATCGTGTAATCGCGATCTCAACGATCCGCCGTGTCGCCACTCCCCATGGCGGGCCCTCGCTCCTCCCAACGATCGACCGTCTCCTCCCGCTCCACCACCCCCCACGCCGCATCTTCCGGCACAAACTCCGGCGCCAATTTCGGCGGATCCTCTGCTTCCGCGTCCCCATCCTTCCTCTCCCGCGCGTTTCCCGCGTTGGCAGCGTCGCTTCTCGCGCTAACGGCTGTCGTCTTTGCGTTCACCTACTCGAGGCCGTCGCTTGGGCGATGCGACGTACTCCAGCTGCAGCTCATGGGACGAAAGGTAAGGTTTGAGTCAGAATCTTAGGTCGACTCAACAGTCACCTCGTCGTCTTTGCGTTCACCTACTCGAGGCCGTCGCTTGGGCGATGCGACCTACTCCAGCTGCAGCTACTGGCACGAAAGGTAAGGTCTCGTACAACTTTTGAGGCCCCTCAAAAGTGCGACTTACTCCAGCTGCAGCTGCTGGGACGAAAGGTAAGGTCTCGTTCAAGATGAATAAAGGTCGAACTTACTCGATGACTTTTGCGAAAGGTCTCAGCTGTTGCATGTTCCAAGCCAGGTGACGACTGAGTTTGACGACTGAATCGACATGTGACTTAGCATTTGAGTCGACATTTGAATCAACCTAAAAAATGAGCTTTGGTACTCCTTCCTGCTGTATGATCTCAGCCAGGCAGAGAAAAGCACTGAAATTTGTCCCTCTACTTTGTGCATGTTTTTTTTTTTCTTTGCTGTATTTGCTTTCTATTCTACGTTGCAGCAGGGAGACGACCTGGGGAAGCACCTGAAAGTGCTGGAGAAGCAGGTAGGTTGAACAAGTGCGTGGACTGGATGAGTGGCTGGGGTGGGGTGGGGTGGGGTGGGGTGGGGTGGGGTGGGGTGGGGTGGGGTGGGTTGGGGTGGGATGGGATGGGCTGGGGTAGGTGGGGTGAGTGGGTGGGTGAGAGGTATGGACCTGCGTGACGTGGGTGGGTGAGGTAATGCGCTGCTCGTGTGTCCTGCTCCTGCCGCTGCCTCCCTCCTTTCCCCTTTGCTCCTCATTCTGCCCCTCGTTCTGCCCCTCCTTATGCCCGCCTTTTTACCCCTCGCCCCGCGTTTTGCTTCTGCCCCCCCCTCTGCCTCTGCCACTGAATCTTCTTCCTCCTCCTTCCCCTCCTCCCCTCCCGCTGCCTCTGTCTCTCCTCTCCCCCCTCTTTTCATATCCCACTCTCATCCCTCACCCTCTCCCCTTCCCTCCCCCACTCGCTTACCTCTCCCCCTCCTCTCCCCCTCCCCATCCCTCCAGATGAATTACAACAAGAAACTCGTGGGAGCACTACAGGCATCTCTCGCCAAGTTGACTGTGAGTGTGTGTGTGGAGTGAGTGAATCAGTGAGCTGATGTGAGAGCAGCTACAGGAACCAGTGAATACTTACCGGTGCCTCTCATCTCATTCGTGTGTGTCAAGTCAACCATTTGCTCTCCTCTTCACCATTCCCATAATGCTATTTGTGCCCTTACCCCATTACCCCCCCTCCCGCCACCCCATTCCCGCCTCCCTCCTTTACTCTCCATTGCATCTATTGTATCTCCTATCCTTTTCCCCCATTTCGTCCCTCTCCCTTCGTGCTCCTCCTCCCCTCCACTTTTCCCTTTCCTCTCTTCTCCCTCTTTTTCTCCCCTTTTCTTGGTTCGATTTCCCTCGTTCTTTGTGGATTCTCTCTCCCGTGTGCAGGCTGCTGACTCAGCAGCGGCGGCAGAGGCCGACACGTCAACGCCTGCTGACGTGGCAATCCCTGGGAACGCCAGCACGCGCCAGCTGGTCGAGCTGGCAGCGCGACAGGTGGCGGATGAAGTCCGGGCATCAATGGAGGAAACGGTGAGTTTCTTTTCTCAACAGATACAGATCAGTACGTGATGTTCACTGTTGGAATGGAATGTGTACTGTTCACGCTTCATAGTGCCACCGCAAGTTTGCTCTCTTGAATGCCTAAACTTGATATCTTTACGACTGTGTGGCGGGTGAACTCCGGGCATCAATTAAGGAGACTGTGAGGTGCTCATTTCACGGATTTATATTTGAGGTTGACTGTTCCGGCTTCGAAGTGCCTTGCCTGCCTGCCTTGCCTGCCTGCCTTGCCTGCCTGCCTGCCTGCCTGCCTGCCTGCCTGCCTGCCTGCCTGCCTGCCTGCCTGCCTGCCTGCCTGCCTGCCTGCCTGCCTGCCTGCCTGCCTGCCTGCCTGCCTGTCTGTTTGTCTGTTTGTCTTTCTGCCTGCCCCACATGCCGGGCTTCACCCCCCTCAACCCCACAGGACCTTGCACGTTTGCGGGACGTCATAGGAGCTACAGTGCGCAGAACAGGCAAATGGACCGCCGCCCTTGCCGCCCGCTCCTGCCCCCAATGCCCTGACTGCTCCCTCACTCTGCCGTCCACAATCGGCCCCGTCTGCACTGCACCGGGATTCGTCAACTGCAGCTGCACGAGCGGGCACTCGGGCAGGCGAAAGTTTCCGAAGCGGACGGAGAAGCCGCTGTGCACAGACGGCGCGTCGCCGGGCAGGTGGAAAAGCTACAGCCAATGGGAGGCCGACAACTGTCAGTACAGAGAGATTTCGACAGACAGCCTTAGGGAATGCCTGAAGGGGAAATGGATACACTTTTTCGGAGATTCCCTCTCGCGGTTACTGGCAAATGAGTTTGCGAGGCAGTGTGGGATGCAGCGCAGGTCGTGGGATGGGGACAAGGCTAGAAGCACGTTGCTGGATACCAGGGTAGATCAGCAGGTGGCAGAGGGGGGGAAGGGGGGTGGTGGGGGGAGAAGGAGGAGATTGACAGGTGGTGTTGATACAGATGGGGGGAGAGGAGGAGGAGAAGGAGTGGATCAGTCATTGTATGGGGTGGAGGGAGGGGAGGTGGAGGGAGGGGAGGTGGAGGGAGTGGAGGTGGAGGTAGGGGAGGTGGAGGGGGGGGAAATGGAGGAGTGGGAGGTTCCTCAGGAGGAGCTGGAAAATGGAGGAGAGGAGGAGAGTGTGAGTGAGGGTGTCGGGGAGGACGAGAGGAGGGCGGGCGGCAGGCGGCGGCTGCTTATGTCGCGAGACGAGTGGCCGCGGGTGACTTATCTGTTCCGAGGCAAGATGGCTCATCAGAGGCACCCGGAGGTGGGTGCAGGATGAAGCAGTGCGTTTGATGTATGCATACCTCTCCCCCCTCTCAACCCCTCTCCACCCCTCTTCGCCCCTCTTCACCCCTTTCACTCGTCCTACAGGAGAACGCCACAGAGGAGCGGGATCTGAACAACAAGTTTCTCGAGTCGTTCAAGCAGCCAGGGGGGCAGCAGCCTGACTTCCTCATCATGAGCATTGGGGCGCACGAGGTGAGGCATGGCATTGGGGCGCACGAGGTGAGGCATGGCATTGGGGCGCACGAGGTGAGGCATGGGGACACGTGGGTGGGTGGGATGAGTATGGCGCACGAGGTGAGGTGAGAATGTGGACGGGGAGAAGGGTGGGGCAGCAGCTAGGGGGATAGCATGCAGGGGGCAGCAGCCCCTACAGCGTGTTTTGAGACGTCTCAAAACACGGAAAGCATGCAGGGGGCAGCAGCCCCTACAGCGTGTTTTGAGACGTCTCAAAACACGGAAAGCATGCAGGGGGCAGCAGCCCCTACAGCGTGTTTTGAGACGTCTCAAAACACGGATAGCATGCAGGGGGCAGCAGCCCCTACAGCGTGTTTTGAGACGTCTCAAAACACGGATAGCATGCAGGGGGCAGCAGCCCCTACAGCGTGTTTTGAGACGTCTCAAAACACGGATGGCATGCAGGGGGCAGCAGCCCCTACGGCGGCCGAGAGGGATCTACTGCTGCATCTGCTACAGCTAATTGTTACCGTGTGTGGTAAGGCAGATGGCTGGCCAATCACCTGGCCAATCCCCTTCCCCTGCACTCTCATGCTCCCTGACTAACAGGTGATTGGTTGGAATTGACGCCCTCCACCTGACCTGGATATAGCCTCGTTCAAGAAAGACACGGAGGAGCTGCTACAGCTGCTACAGCTGCCGCAGCTGCTACAGCTGCTACAGCTATTGTTCAAACACCCCATTGCCCTCTCCCTTGCACTCAACTTTCTGACGGCAGGTCATCGGGTGGAATCGCCGCCCGCCTCCAGACCTGGATGTGACGACGTTCAACAAGGACACAGAGGAGCTGCTGCAGCTGTTACAGCTAATCGTTACCACCTTCCTGCTCCCCTGCTCCCCTTCTCACGGCAGGTCATCGGGTGGAATCGCCGCCCGCCTCCAGATCTGGATGTGGCGACGTTCAAGAAAGACACAGAGGAGCTGCTGCAGCTGCTGAGAGGGAGCTACAACCGGGAGAAGGGCATGCTGCTGTGGTGGAAGGCGCACTATATTTGGCCCGGTGAGTGATTGTTCAGTTGCGCTGACAGGCACTCTTGTTGCAAGTGTTGTCCAGATATGATTCTCTGTACGGTGTTTTGTTTCGCTGCATTACGTTGGTGTTGTTACTGAATGTCGCCCTTGTCATGACGGTCCCCTACTGACCTGACCTCTCATCTTCTACCCAATCCTCTTCTCCTCACGTCCCACCATAAACAGGCAAGGTTACTGGACAAGACTATTTCACAGTGCGACAATACCATGAAATATATCAAGATTATTCCTACAAAAGATTTCAAGAGGAAGGCTACACTACTGCAGATTTCTATCAAACCACAGAAGATCGGCCGGAGCTTATATGGAAGCCGGATGGGGTACACTACGGCTCTGAAGCTTTGGCTGTACACTCCAAGATTCTTGCTAATATATTGTGCAATAGAAAATAGATATTACATTATCTTTACTTCGTTTCTGTGCCATCAATGTCTGTAAAGCTAAATGCAGTTTACAACACTAGGTTTTGCACTGATACCATAGTACACTAAGCCAGGACCCACATACTGGTAGCATACAGGCAAAATCTGAACGAAAGCATGCAATGCATCACAGCAAAACATCCGGGCGTTTTTTAGACATCTCAAAACTGTGACGCAACCTTACGAGCAATCTATACACTGAATCAAACAGACACATCAGGAAGCCGCCACATTACACAGTTTGACTCGCCCTGCATTCTTCTCATTGGTTGAAGTTGTGTTGGCAAGGCACAACCAAGTCCCAGCCACTGACAGAAGTTCTGAGTCAACTCAACACTCATCTTCGCTGGTGCTGAAAGTTATGCAAGCGCCGGCCGACCAGGTACCTATCGTCCCGAATCGCATCGTGCAAAGAAGCAAGCCACTCACACACCCGCCGCCACACCCTCGCCGTCCCCACCACCCCCAACGCAGTAATCCACGCGAACCGGAACGCCGCTGATTCGAGCACGGGGGGGAGGCGGAGCAAGGGGAGTGCTGCGCGGACAGCTAGGAAGGGGGCTGTGAGGGCTGTGAGGAGGAAGAGGAGGACTGGAGCGAAAATTTCCTGGAAGGTGCGGCGCGCGTTGAGGCGGCGGAGCCCGTCTTGTTGCAGGCGGAGGAAGCGGGCCCGCCACTCGTGGTTGGCTAGCAAGTGGTTCTGTGCGGTGACCTGCGGTGCAAGGGAAGAGGAGGGGAAATGGGAGTGGTGACAGGGAGTGAGTAAGGATGCAGGCGGAGGAAGAGGGCTCGCCACTCTTGGCTGGCTAGTAAGTGGTTCCGTGCGGTAACCTGCGGTGCGAGCGAGGGGAGGGGTAGAGAGAGCAGTGGTCAACAGACACACAGACATGCACTTGAATGGGAGTATGAATGAATGCATGGATGGGAGCCTTAGTGCATGCATGGATGGGAGCATAAGTGCATGCATGGATGGGAGCATAAGGGCATGCATGGATGGGAGCATAAGGGCATGTATGGATGGGAGCGTAAGTGCATGCATGGATGGGAGCATAAGGGCATGCATGGATGGGAGCATAAGGGCATGCATGGATGGGAGCACAAGGGCATGCATGGATGGGAGCATAAGGGCATGCATGGATGGGAGCATAAGGGCATGCATGGATGGGAGCGTAAGTGCATGCATGGATGGGAGCATAAGGGCATGCATGGATGGGAGCATAAGGGCATGCATGGATGGGAGCATAAGGGCATGCATGGATGGGAGCATAAGGGCATGCATGGATGGGAGCATAAGGGCATGCATGGATGGGAGCATAAGGGCATGCATGGATGGGAGCGTAAGTGCATGCATGGATGGGAGCATAAGGGCATGCATGGATGGGAGCATAAGGGCATGCATGGATGGGAGCATAAGAGAATGCATGGATGGGAGCATAAGCGCATGCATGGATGGGAGCATAAGGGCATGCATGGATGGGAGCATAAGGGCATGCATGGATGGGAGCATAAGGGCATGCATGGATGGGAGCATAAGCGCATGCATGGATGGGAGCATAAGGGCATGCATGGATGGGAGCATAAGGGCATGCATGGATGGGAGCATAAGGGCATGCATGGATGGGAGCATAAGGGCATGCATGGATGGGAGCATAAGCGCATGCATGGATGGGAGCATAAGGGCATGCATGGATGGGAGCATAAGGGCATGCATGGATGGGAGCATAAGGGCATGCATGGATGGGAGCGTAAGTGCATGCATGGATGGGAGCATAAGGGCATGCATGGATGGGAGCATAAGAGAATGCATGGATGGGAGCATAAGCGCATGCATGGATGGGAGCATAAGGGCATGCATGGATGGGAGCATAAGGGCATGCATGGATGGGAGCATAAAGGCATGCATGGATGGGAGCATAAGGGCATGCATGGATGGGAGCATAAGGGCATGCATGGATGGGAGCGTAAGTGCATGCATGGATGGGGGGATGGATAGGCACACTCACCACTCTGGCCCAGAGCTTGAGCAGTATGAGGCCGAGCGCCCAGTCGTGGTAGAGAGAGAGCAGCGGGTGACGGACACACGAACATGAATGTATGCATGGGTAGGCGCATGGCGCACTCACCACTCTGGCCCAGAGCTTGAGCAGTATGAGGCCGAGAGCCCAGTCATGGTAGAGCGAGAGCAGCGGGGACTCGTTGATGGGCACTCGGATGGGCATGATGACAGCTAGGTCGACCAGCAGACCTGCTAGAATGGGTGCTACTACCAGCTGCGGAATAACGGGGGTTTGCAAAGGGTGGATAGGAGAAAATACAAAGGGGAAAACGAAGCGGAGGGAAAAGGGGCAGTTACTGCAATGGGGAAGTTATTGAGAAGGAAGCAAAAACGGAACAGGGGAAAGGGTAGATCCAAAGCAGAATTTTGCTTCAGTTGGCTTTGCTAGCGCGCACTCACCCACAGCAGCAGCAGCACCGCTGCTTTCAATGCCACAGCAGCCCAGTGCACGAGAGGCAGCAGCAGCGCCCGCATGTTGTTACGCGGTAACCGCAAGACAGCTGCTTGCATGGCTGCTATGGACCCCCAGATGAGGTAGGCTCCGATGCCGAAGGAATAGAGGTCTGGATGGGTTGACAGGGGTGTGAGAGAGTGAAGTGGGGTAAGGGGATGAGTGACTGGTGGTAAGTGCAGCACAGCAGCTTTGAGTTCCCAGATGAGGTATGCCAAAGGAATAGAGGTCTGTATGGGTGGAGAGGGGTGTGGGAGAGTGATGTGGGTTAGAGACGTGTGGTAATGGCAGCAAGACAGACAAAAAATCTGGTCAAGAGGCGTTTGACCAATGCAGGGAGAATCATCAGACGACTTTTGAGACGTCTCAAAAGCAGCACTGGGCAGCAAGGTGAAAGGCCCCTGTTTTGAGACGTCTCAAAACACGTTTCACCATTGCAGGGAGAATCATCAGCAGCACTGGGTATCAAGGTGAAAGGCCCGTCGCCCCACCGCAGTGGGCAGCAGCAGCAGCACCGCCGTGTTGAACGCTGCTAGTGACGCGCACGGTGTGTGTAACAGTGTATTGACGGAACACACAACTTACCATTGCAAGGAGTGTCATCAGCAGCAGCACTGGGCAGCAGCGAGGCGGAGAGGCGGAACGCCCCTCGCCCCACAGCGGTGGGCAGCAGCACCACCGCCGTGTTGAACGCTGCTAGTGAGAGAGAGTGAGAGAGAGCCAACTGTGTGACAGTGAAAAACACAACTTACCATTGCAAGGAGTGTCGTCAGCAGCAGCACTGGGCAGGTGTTTTTTGAGAATTCTCAAAACGTGTTTTTTGAGAATTCTCAAAAAACACGTTTTGAGAATTCTCAAAAAGGAGTGTCGTCAGCAGCAGCACTGGGCAGCACGGAGGCGGACAGTCGGAAGGCCCCTCGCCCCACAGCGGTGGGCAGCAGCACCACCGCCGTGTTGAACGCTGCTAGTGAGAGAGAGTGAGAGAGAGTGAGAGAGAGCCAACTGTGTGACAGTGAAAAACACAACTTACCATTGCAAGGAGTGTCGTCAGCAGCAGCACTGGGCAGCACGGAGGCGGACAGTCGGAAGGCCCCTCGCCCCACAGCGGTGGGCAGCAGCACCACCGCCGTGTTGAACGCTGCTAGAGACGCCCACGCCGCCACCAGCAGCGCTACTATCCGCACCCGAAAATGCTCGTCCTCCTTCTTGCCCCCACTCCCCCCGCTGCCGCTGCCGCTGCCGCCCGCGCTCTCGCTGACCATCCCACTGCTGCTGCCAGCGCTACCATCTGTGATGCTTCTGCTGCTGCCACTACCACTGCCAGCCTCCCTAATGCTGCCACTCCCAGCATCACTGCCATTTCTGCTGCTGTTCCCTCTGTCTTTCTGTCTGGAATCGGCAATGGAAGCTGTAACATCCCTGTCCTTCCACCGTTCTCTCTCCCCCTCTTCTCTTCCTGTCTCCTCCCTCCCCTCCTCCTCCACTGCCTTCCCCTTCCCTCTTAATCTCTCCACCTCCCCTCTCTCCAATACCTCCTCCTCCTCCTCTTCCTCCTCCTCCTCCTCCTCCTCCTCCTCCTCCTCTTCCTCCTCCTCCTCCTCCTCCTCCTCCTCCTCCTCCTCCTCCTCCTCCTCCTCCTCCTCCTCCTCCTCCTCCTCCTCCTCCTCCTCCTCCTCCTTCCCTCCCTCTTCCTCCACCTCTCCAACCCTTCTATGAAAACCGGCCCCTCTTCTTTTCGCTGCTCCTCCTCCTGCTCCCACCGCCCCCACTGCTCCCACTGCTCCTGCTCCTCCTTTCAGAAAAACACCATCAGTTGCTACTCCAACCGCCTCAGCTGCACCGACTGCTGCAACTGCTCTAACAGCAACTGTGCCTGGTGACGGTGCTGCTGCTGCTCTTGCCAACGCTGCCGATGCTGCCTTTTCCGCAGCCATTATTCTCTCAACAAACCGGCTGTCCACTGGAGTATCAACAGGAGCAGTGGCATGTAAAACCGGCCTTTGAGGGTTTTGGAAGGAAAGAACAGGGGGAGGAGGAGCAGTAGCAGCAGCGGCAGGGGGGACGGCACTGGGAGGAGGAAGGGGAGGCGTCACAGGGTGGAAAGCAACAGGAGGGGGAGGGGGCCGAAAGGCAATCGGAGGAGGGGGAGGAGGAGCAGCAGCAACACCAGCAGCAGCAGCGGCAGGAGGAGGAGGAGGAGGAGGGGGTGCAGCAGCAGCAGCACCGGCGGCACCACCAGCACCGGCACCAGCAGCACCGGCATCAGCAGCAGCAGCGGGGGCGGGAGGGGGCGGCAGCAGGAAGTGCTGCAGCATGAGGAGGCGGGCAGCAGCGCGGAACCAGAGGGAGAGTGCGGCCTTGATGGTGGCCCGCGGGCGCAGGCGGTCGATGGCAAAGGGGATGCACACGTGGAAGAGCAGCATGTCCAGTGGGATCTCCATTAACGGGTCGGAGAACCTGAGGGGAGCAGACAGAGAGGTGGGGAGAGGTGCAGGGTGGTGGGGAGTACGCATGTGCGGATGAGGAAGCTGAGAAGGGAGGGAGGTCGATGGCAAAGGGGATGCACACGTGGAAGAGGAGGATGTGTAGCCTCTAGACCCTGCACAGGTGGGATCTCCATTAGCGGATCAGAGAACCTGGAAGGGGTGTGGGGGAAGTGAAAGGGGACAGGGAGAACAGCAGCACAACCACAGGCAAAGAAGGAGAGAATTTTTTAGGCGCCTCAAAAATGGAGAGCAGCAGCACAACCAGTGCGCCACAGGCAAAGGAGGAGAGAAATGCAGTGCAAGAGATAAGATGGAGAGGAGTCTAGTTCTGACCTGTAGTTGAAGGGGAACATGGTGGGCGCGATGGCGATGGCTGCTCGCTCGGGCAGGAGCAGCAGCAGCACCACGAGTGCCCCGTAGGCGAAGAGAGAAAGCAATAGGGCGTGAGAGAGGGCGAGATGGAGAGCAGGAGGGAGGCGCTTATAACTGACCTGTAGTTGAATGGGAACATGCTGGGCGCGATGGCGATGGCGGCTCGCACGGGCAGGAACAGCAGCAGCACGACCAGCGCGCCGTAGGCGAACAGGGAGAGCACGATGCGGCGCGCGTGCTTGGGAATGGGGTCCTCCACGAGGTCCCGGAATGGATTGAAGTTTGGATCGGTGGGGTCGCGCAGGAAGGAGAGCACGCCTGGTCGCAGGATCTGGGACAGGGGGACAACAGGGGAGAAAAAAGGGATAAGATGCACCACCACCAACAGGGGGATGCGTGCTTGGGAATGGGCCCTCCACCAGGTCGCGGAAATGGTTGAAGTTTGGTTCGGTGTTTGGTTCGGTGTTTGGTTCGGTGGGGTCACGGAGGAAAGACATAACACCTGGGCGCAGGATCTGGAAGGGCCACACAAGGGGCACGAGGAGAGACAACAAGGAGAATCAAGGCATCAGGGAGTGATTTTGAATGCGATGCGACCCCATCAAATCGCGAAACGGGTTGAAGTTTAGGTTGGTGAGATCATGGAGGAAATACTCCTCCACAGGACCCGGGACAGGGGAGTAGACAGGTGCAGAGACAGGGAAAGGAGGGAACACCCGTACCTCTCGGAGGATGGTGACGAGCAGGCTGACTTGCAGCATGTACAGGATCCCCACGAACCAGTGCAGGAAGCAGCACAGCAGCGGATGCGCCAGCAGCAAGGCGAGGCGGTCCGAGGGGGAGGCCCCGAAGAGGGAGAGCGAGCAGAAGTCGATCCACCAGCCGCAGAGGAACGGGAAAGCCCCAAGCTCCACTGACAGGAGACTGGTGACTTTTAGAACGACCAAACCGTGCCTGATATAGGGAGTGATAGGGAGGGATAGGGAGGGGTACAGATGGGTGTAAGGGAAGGCACTGAACTGACGAGGGAGAGCGAGCAGAAGTCGATCCACCAGCCACAGAGGAAAGGGAAGGCTCCCAGCTCCACTGAGAAAAGGCTTGTGACTTCTAGAACCACTAGTCCGTGCATGTGTGTGGAAGAATGGGGAGTAGGGAGGGGTGGAGAGGGGTGACACGAGAGAGGAGACGAAAGAGGAGGGAGGGCGAGGGTGAACAAGGTGTGCTCTTAAATGGCCGGCTCTACTAGCAGCAGCGTCGTAAGCAGCAGCATGAGCGCTGCTTACTCCATAGGAGAATCCCCCCTCATTAGAGCACCCACCCACCCACACAGTACCCACCTGACAGCCGCCACCAGATGCTCCTGAATCGCCTGGGCCACCTGCAGCAGCGCCAGCAGCGTGGCAGGCAGCGCCCCCACCAGCGGCAGCCCTCGGGCTCTCCTCAGCTGAATCGCGACCAGCACATGCACAGCACAGCAGAACGCCACGACCTCGTACCCCACCAGCAGCTGTTCCACCCACCACCCACCCACCCACCCACCCACCCACCCAGTACCCACCTGACAGCGGCAACAAGGTGCTCCTGAATCGCCGGCGCCACCTGCAGCAGCGCCAGCAGCGTGGCAGGCAGAGCCCCCACCAGTGGCAACCCTCTCGCTCGCCTGAGCTGAATCGCTACGAGCACGTGAACGGCACAGCAGAACGCCACGACCTCGTACCCCACCAGCAGCGACACCAGATTCCCTGCTGCCAGCCCGTGGCCCGCTTCCGCCCAGCGCAGGCCCAGCAGCGTGCAGCACCACTGCGAGTACAGCGCTGCTGCTAGCACGAGCTGGTGGGAGAGGGAGGAGAGGTGGGCTGTGGTGATTTGGAGGAGGTGGGCCAGGAGGGCTGTCGTGGTGCTGCTGCTGGTGCTGGTGGTGGCGGTGGTGGTGGTGGTAGTAGGAGTGGTGGCATTGGATAAGAGAGGCTCGCTGCTGCTCTGGCTGACGTTGCTGCTGCTGCTACTGCTGCTGCTCCTGCTGCTGATACTGTAATTCCTGCTGGAATGAGGGCTATTACTAGTGGCTTTACGACTCTCCTCCCCACTGTATACCATCCCATCCACGTTCTCCATCCTCCTTCCAATCTTGTCCCGTTGCTCTTCTTCTAACTTCTTTCTCCTCCCCGCCCCCCTCTTCTCCCCTCTCCTCTCCCCTCTCCTCTTCCCCCTCCTCCCATGCAGCTTCAGGAAGGACGCACGCGGTGAGGAAGGAAGAAGGTTCGATTTCCACGCACACTCATGCTCCCCCTCTCGCGCACACCTATACACCCCTCTATAGTCACCCTCATGCTCATGCTCCCCACTGAACACACCCTGAGACCAACCCCCCTTCTCATACCCACACACACGTAGCTCGTCCAAAATTGCAGGCCGAGAGGAAACAGGGCAGAAGCCCCAGTGCGCAAACGGTTCCGAGGAGTTGAGATAGGTTGGGTAGATTGGGGGGATGCAGGACGGGGTGGAGAGCGGTGGAGGAGTGGGGAGGGGGAGTGTAGGGGGGCCGAGGAGGAGGGAGTAGATTGGGACGAGAGAGATGGTGGAGGCGGGGGAGAGGAAGAGGAAGGAGAAGAGGGCTATGTAGAGCCGACCGAGGTTGAACGGGAGGAAGAACGCGAGTACGAGCACAAAGAAATTGCTGCAGAGCACCTGAAGGGGTGGAGAGGGGTGGAGAGGAGTGGGGAGGGGTGGAGAGGAGAGTGGAGTGAGGTGAGAAGGAGAGGGGGACATGGTTAAATGGGAGGAAGAAAGCGAGTACAAGCACAAAAAAGTTGCTGCAGGGGACCTGAGGAGCAATAGGGCGAGGGCAGGGAAGGAAATATGTGGGGAAAAGGGGGGAGGAACGGAATGTCTGAATGGTTCGATCGATTGGACGAAGCTCCAATGAGGCGCCAGCGCGGCCACTGCAAGCCAATGAGCTCCTCAAACCCACCTTAAGGAGAGTCACGCAACAACAGTGGCAGGTTGCACAAGCACTCAGCTGTGGGCAGACAGCCCTCAGCCGTCAGCCGTCAGCCGTCAGCCGTCAGCCCTCAGCCCTCAGCCGTCAGCACTCAGCCCTCAACATTCAGCACTCAGAACACTCACCGTGGTGGCGTTTTCAAAGAGGCGCCAGAGCGGTCCCTGCAGGCCGATGAGCTCCTCAAACCCTAAATCGTCCATTGGCTCCCCATCCTCGTCCACCTCCCCCTCCCCCATGCCCGCCTCCGCCTCCTCAAAATCCTCCTCCTCTTCCTCCCCTTCCTCCTCTTCCTCTTCCTCCTCTTCTTCCTCCTCTTCCTCATACTCGTAATCATCATCATCATCCTGAAAGCTCCCACTCTCCTCCTCTCCCGTACTCCCCTCCTCCCCACTACCCTCCTCCTCCTCACTCGCTTCCCTGCTCTCTTCTCTTAACTCCTCATCTACTTGTATCTCATTCCCCCACGCACTCCCCCTTTGCGCGGATATCCCCGCACCATCTCCGCTTCCCCCATTCCCCCACGTCTGGGCGGATAAATTCGCGCCATCTCCGCCCGTCTCATCCCCCCACAACCTCTCTTGCCCCCTCCTCCCCTCCCCATGCTCCCCTCCCTCTCCCAACCAACCAGCTGCTGTATCCTCTCCCTTCTCCACCCCTTTCCCCTTCTCACGGCCGTCACTGACTCTCCCCTCTGCTTCCTCTGTACATACTCTTTCCTCTCTTCTTCCTATTCCTTCCGTCCCCAATCCGAGTCTCAACCTCCCCACCTGCCCACCCTCTCTTCTAGCTGCTCCCCCCCCCTCTCCCCCACCCACTTCCCCGCCACTTCCCCCCACTTCTCCCCCGATCTCACCATCTCCCCCACCATCTCTCTCTTCCCCGCGGCCTCCGCCCTCCGTACCGCCTTCCTTCCCCGCACTCTGTCCCCCAGCGCCAGCCACAGTAGCAGCGGAACCTGCTGCTGCAGCAAAGCCACCTTCCGCTGCTCCTTCCCCCTCTTCCCCTCCCCTCCCTATCCCTCCTCCCTCCGCTCCTCCCGCCTCTCCTTCCTCTGCTCCTAATCCTGCCGCTATCACTGCTCCTTGCCCCTCCGCGCCTTCCCCCCCTAACTCTTCTCTTTCCGGCTCCTCCCCCCGCTCGTCCCTCCCGCTATTCCTGCCCCGCGCGTCCACCTGTCCAGTTCCCATTTGCCCCGCCTCTCCAGCCGGGCGGAAGTAAAACCTCGCCGGGCGACGGGTCTCCTGGGCGGACGGATTCGCACCAAACACAAACGGCTGGTCGTCCGTCGCAGGGCCAGTCGCAGGGCCTGTCGCAGAGCCTCCTGCACGGTCGCTGAACGAAAAAGGTCGGCCAGAGGAGCCCGGGGGGAGAGTTCCCAAGGGGGGAACAACACGGGGAGGCGGAGGGGGAATTGCTCGCGGAGGGGGGGGAGGTGGCGGGGCTATGCCCCCTCTTTCCTCCTCCCCGTTTTGTCTTATTCGAGCAGCGTCCCCTTGATTTTGTTGCAACGGGGGTGGAGGGGGGGGTGGAGGCTGGTGCTGGTGCCGGTGCTGCTGGTGGCGCTGGTGCTGGTGATGCTGGTGATGGTGGTGGTGCTGGTGCTGATGCTCGTGGTGGTGGTGATGGTGGTGATGATGATGATGGTGATGCCGTCTCTGCTGCTGGCCCCCCTGCTGCATCTGCCCCTGCTGCCCCTGCGGTTGCCCCTGCAGCTGCCCCCGCTGCTGCGCCACAAGCGCCCCCCCCTCCGCCTCCGCCGCCTCCCCCTCCCCTTCCCCCGCGCCCCCCACCCCCACCTCGAACCCCTCCTCCCCTTCCATCTGCTGCTCCAACAGCTGCGCTAGATACTCCCTCAGAGACGACAAGCTCAGAAAAAACAAAATCACCGCCGCGGACAGCACGCTGCCCAGCACGCAGTCCTGGAAAATCGCCCCGCCCGTGAGCCTCTCGCGGAACAGCGCGCCGATGCGCGTCCAATCGCGGAGGAAGCAGAGGTGCCAGATGGAGCTCGTGAGGAACGGCACGAGGAGCAGCCACACGAACGCGATGAGCGCGGCGCGCAGGACGAACGAGACGGCGCGCCCCGCCATCAGCGCCGCGCCCGCGAGAAACTCGTTTGGGGGGAGCCGGGACGGCGCGTTGGGCGCGTAGATGGGGGAGAAGATGAACGCGCGCTTGCATACCTGGGTGGTGTGGGGAAAGGGGAGGGCGCGGAAGGGAAAGGGCAGAGAGGGGGGAGGGAGGGAAAGGAGGGAGGTCAGGGAAGTTGGAGGGCGGGAACGGGGGAAGGCAGGGAAAGGCGGGTGAAAGGAACGGGGAGTGGAAGGAAAAAGATGGAGACGTAAGGAGCGGGAAGCGGACAGAGAAGAAAGCTTGTGGGAGGCAGTGGGAGGAAGAGCTCTTTCCTCGCGTTTACGAGAAACAGATAGCTTGCCACATATACGGCAAGAAGGGAGCTTGCCGCGTGTACGCAAGAAGGGAGCTTGCCGCGTGTACGAAAGAAAAAAAAATTCCACTGTACTCGCGAGCTTGCAGCGTGTATCGGAAACCAAAACGGCGACGCAAAGGGACACAGACGCGATTGCCGGGAGAGTGGGACGTGTAGCAAACAAGGACGACTGATAGATTCGAAGAGGGGGGATAGATAAAGGGCGGTGTGATGCCGACGCGAGCTCGCAATAAGGAAAATCCAGAAACAATTACTGGTTCCAGAACCTATTAAGTAAGCACCAACCGATTGCATGCATATCTTCCGTCAATAGTGACACGCAAATTTATTATTGTGGCGAGTTCGCTGTAAAGAGGAACAGCATCTTCAAGTGAATCAAGAACCGTGCAGCCAAGATGTAGGCGGTACGAAACTGAAGCACGCCAAGAAACCAGGATGTACCGCTTAGAACCACGTCAATGTCAATGTTACGGACTGCGAGCGAGCCGCGACGCTGCGATTTTGCACGGCTGCGACTTTCGCGAGGCTACGAGCTGCGAACGCTAACGAACCTCGCAGTGCGTTTTGTTGCTGTGGTGCAGCCATTGCAGCAAGCAGCCCTGATGCACGAACTTGATGCTCCCGCTACAAGCACACGGGTGGTACAGCGGATCCCCGTCCGCTGCCGGCGCACGGCAAATCCTACACACGTCCTCCTCCTCCTCTTTCATGGCTGGATACGGTTAGAGATAATCCTTGATCAATGTCATACAGATCGTTAAAACTCAGAAACCATTTCTGTGAGAAATGCTACTTAGGCATTGCCCATAAAGCGAGGACATGCAAAACAGGGCTCCCTAAGTCTGCGAAAACAGGGTGAGGCTAGAACTAACACGGGAAAACGGAGACGGGTAAAAGCTGGTGGAAGAAAGACGGCAGACGGTTGGGCTCTGATGATTTTGAAAAGACTAGGACGGCGAGGTGCGAAGAGAACCAAAGCTTCTAAACAGACGAACCCTAGACTCAGAACTGAGTTGAAGAGGAAGCACCTGCCTCATCTAGATTCAGAAAGCGTGAGAACACCAACCCTAGATTCGTAACTGAGCGGACGAGGATGAGGACGGAGAGGGGAGGGGAGCAGCCATAACCTAGCGATTTCTTGGCGATTTGTATGGTGTTTACGCTGGGCTATTGGGTAACATGGCGGTGAGCTCGCGTGTAAGTACGGTCCCCGATTTTCCGTATCTTTCTGAACCGCTCCAAAACATCAAGCAAGTATCTGAACATTGATCAAACGCACTGGTAACGAACTGCTGCGACACCCTCAGATGTTCAGCACCCCCTGTTACTGTACTGCAAATTTACACTGACGGTTTTTTCCTCTCCATAAGCTTATCCGTAGGTTCTGACAACCAAGCCGGGGTGGCGGGAAAATAACGCTTGTAGCTGTGATCTTGGCAAAGGAGTGTTCTAGAAACGGGAGAAACACGAAGTGTGGAAACGTGGCGAAAGGTCACACAGGATCCTTATCCATTCGCGACAAAAGCAACACTTTCCAGGTTCGCAAGCGTTTGCTGACCTGGATATCGTCGCGTCGTGCCACGTAGTACACAAGTGCAAAATGATCTCACCATCCGTAACCACAACCATCATCAGGTTCGCGACAAGAACAATGCTGCGGTTACCACGAACACTTGTTGTCACGCATCCACGGTCACCCGAGTAGGGTGAACCAAGCACAGCACACACCACAAGCCGTGACGATCAGTTTCCCAGTTTTCGCCAACGCATTTCTCTCGCGAGCTCTCGCCATCAGCAAAACAACTAGCTTTTTCTCCCGATCATAACACTGCAGCCATAATTCCCGATCATAACACTGCTGCCTGAAGCTACTTGCTTGTACTTTTTAGTGGATCAGCTACGGCTGGCCAACGGCGGGGCTCGTAAGAGTGGCTGGTCAGGTCGGGGATTTTGCTGTAGCTGCTATCGTTGTTAGCTAACATGGTGGCGACGTTAATCTGTCCAGCCATGGCTGTGGTAACACCCAAGGCACAGCAGCCAATGACGCATCAACCAGCTACTCGGAGAATCGCCAGACTACCAATGTGCTTACCGCAGCCGATCGCGCTTAACGGCAAGATACCTATGCACCACCGTCATCAACATTCATTTTTCGCCACGTCTCCAGATCGGACACCGTCAATCTTCGCTTCACGAAGCCACGTACCCACTGGCAGACGACAGCCGTTGATCGCAAGAGCGCAATCCGACGGTTCTGATGCACCACCAACCCAGACGCCTCCGCCGGCAACCCCACCACCGGCAACTTTCAAGTCGTCACAAACCTCCCAACCGGCAACTTCACAGCCGGCCGGCACGCTGGAGCTTGTCGGCGAGGACGCCGCCGTCTTCAGCATTGACGACCAGAAAACCTCCTCCTGGGCGGCGTTTTTTGGCGTATTAGGCGTCGTAATGGCGATTTTGTACGTCATCTGGATCGATCCAAACACCGGATTTGGCGGCGCGTACATCGGTCTGTTCGAATCGCTCTCGGATAGTCGCGAGATTCAGATGCTGCTGATGCTGTTCGTGTTCGCCATCGTGCACAGCGGAGGCGCGGCGCTCCGGCCGGCGGCGGAGCGCGTGATAGGCGAGCGCGCTTATCGTGTGCTGTTCGCGGGGATCTCGCTGCCGCTCGCCGTATCTGCCGTGGTACGTCTGGCTTCGTAAGGAGCGGGTTTGTCTGAGGTCACAACTGAGGGTCTTGGGAGTCTGCAGCAGTATGTTTGAGATCACAATTGCGAGTATTCTAAAGAATGTGCGTATGTCGAGTCCTGTCGTGCTCTCACTGCCCCTCGCCTGAGGTGATCACGCCGCCTCTGCAGTGAAGTGGTGCGTCTGAGGTCATTTTTGAGTCGGCTCGAAAATAGGCTCGGCAGTGCAGTGTGCAGTGCAGCGCAGTGCAGTGCAGTGCAGTGCAGTGCAGTGCAGTGCAGTGCAGTGCAGTGCAGCACAGTGCAGTGCAGTGAAGTGCAGTGTAGTGTAGTGAGTGCAATGCAATGCAGTGCAGTGCAGTGGTGTGAAGTGCAGTGTAGTGCAGTGCAGTGCAATGCAATGCAATGCAATGCAGTGCAGTACAGTGCAGTGGTGTGTGTGAGGTCACTATCGAGAGTTTGCTGAAAAATGTAACGTGTGAATCCACTAAAGAATGTGAGTTTTGAGCGACGTTTGGGTCAGCAGCTGCCCTCATTCCCTCATTTCCTCCCCTCCTCAATCGCCGCTTTCCATCTTCCACCTCCCACCAACACCCCCCCCTCCCCTCCTCCCCCCCTCCCCCACCCCCATCAGGTCTTTTTCATCAACCATCGCTATGACGGTTTCCCTCTCTGGCAGCTACGTGGCGTGCCAGGCATGCACGAGTTCGTGTGGGCGCTCGCCTTCGTCTCCTTCTTCTTCCTCTACCCCTCCACATTCAATCTGCTCGAGGTGGCAGCGGTTGATAAGCCCAAGCTGCACATGTGGGAGACAGGGATTATGCGAATCACCAGGCATCCCCAGGTGTGGTTTGGTGCGGTGTGATGCGGCAGAGTGCGGTGTGGTGCGTATGGTACCTTCCCTCCTTCCCCCTCCTTCTTCTTCCTCTACCCCTCCACATTCAATCTGCTCGAGGTGGCAGCGGTTGATAAGCCAAAGCTGCACATGTGGGAGACGGGGATTATGAGAATCACCAGGCATCCCCAGGTGTGGTTAAGTGCAGTGTGTGTGCCGTGGTATGGTTTGGTGAGATGTGGTGTGCGGTGAAAATCCCAAGGTGCACATATGGGATGGGAAATTGGTGTCTTGAGGATCTCCTACCATCCCCAGGTGCAGTGCATTTTGGTGCGGTCAAGTCTGGTGCGGCCTAGTCTGGTGCGGTCTAGTCTGGTGCGGTCTAGTTTGATCAGGTGAAATATCTGCTCTCCCTTCCCTTCCCTTCCACTCTCACTTCTCATCCCCCCTCTCTCCCTCGCTTCCAATCCCCCCTCTCTCTATCAGCTCCCATCGCCCATCTCTCTCCTCCCACCCCTCCCCTGCCAAACCCACCCTCCTACTCCCTCAATCTCCTCCTCCAAATTCTTTTCTCGATCCTCATGCCCTCAGTCCCATCCCCCCTTACTCTCAATCCCATCCCCCCTTTTCTCTCATACTCTCAATCCCATCCCCTCTTTTCTCTCAAACTCTCAATCCCATCCCCCCTTTTCTCTCATACTCTCAATCCCATCCCCCCTTTTCTCTCTTACTCTCAATCCCATCCCCCCTTTTCTCTCTTACTCTCAATCCCATCCCCCCTTTTCTCTCATACTCTCAATCCCATCCCCCCTTTTCTCTCTTACTCTCAATTCCATCCCCCCTTTTCTCTCTTACTCTCAATCCCATCCCCCCTTTTCTCTCTTACTCTCAATCCCATCCCCCCTTTTCTCTCATACTCTCAATCCCATCCCCCCTTTTCTCTCATGCTCTCTTCACTGCTGGTCTGCTGCTCTGGCGTGTGGCAGACATGCTCTGGTGTGTGGCAGACATGCTCTGGCGTGTGGCAGACATGCTCTGGTGTGTGGCAGACATGCTCTGGTGTGTGGCAGACATGCTCTGGTGTGTGGCAAACATGCTCTGGTGTGTGGCAGACATGCTCTGGTGTGTGGCAGACATGCTCTGGTGTGTGGCAGACATGCTCTGGTGTGTGGCAGACATGCTCTGGTGTGTGGCAGACATGCTCTGGTGTGTGGCAGACATGCTCTGGTGTGTGGCAGACATGCTCTGGTGTGTGGCAGACATGCTCTGGTGTGTGGCAGACATGCTCTGGTGTGTGGCAGACATGCTCTGGTGTGTGGCAGACATGCTCTGGTGTGTGGCAGACATGCTCTGGTGTGTGGCAGACATGCTCTGGTGTGTGGCAGACATGCTCTGGCGTGTGGCAGACATGCTCTGGTGTGTGGCAGACATGCTCTGGTGTGTGGCAGACATGCTCTGGTGTGTGGCAGACATGCTCTGGTGTGTGGCAGACATGCTCTGGTGTGTGGCAGACATGCTCTGGATCGGCTCATCCTTCACAGCAGTCACGTCCCTCGGCCTGTGCCTGCACCACCGCTTTGGCGTGTGGCTCACATGCTTTGGATGAGCTCGTTCTTCAATTCTCTCCGTTCACCGCTCTCCTCCGGTTTCGCTCCTGTCTCTCGTGCTCTCGTCTTTCTCACATGCCATCAGATGACCGGTCAGCTGCTCTGGTGCGTAGCGCACATGCTCTGGATCGGCTCATCCTTCACAGCAGTCACGTCCCTCGGCCTGTGCCTGCACCACCTCTTTGGCGTGTGGCACGGCGACCAGCGACTGGAGAAGAAGTATGGAGAGGCTTTCGACGAGGTGCGTGGGGGCGAGTCTAGGTGTCTCTGCGTGAGTCTGGGCTGGGGGGGTTCAAGGCTGGTGGTTTCCTTTCCTTCACGGCAGTCACCTCCCTCCGCCTGTGCCTGCACCACCTCTTTGGCGTGTGGCACGGCGACCAGCGACTGGAGAAGAAGTATGTGGGAGGGGAGCATGTGGGTGCATGTGGGAGCATGTGGGAGCATGTGGGTGCATGTGGGAGCATGTGGGTGCATGTGGGAGCATGTGGGAGCATGTGGGAGCATGTGGGAGCATGTGGGAGCATGTGGGAGCATGTGGGAGCATGTGGGAGCATGTGGGAGCATGTGGGTGCATGTGGGAGCATGTGGGTGCATGTGGGAGCATGTGGGATGCATGTGGGTGCATGTGGGTGCATGTGCGTAGGTGCTTGCTCTCACATCCCTCGGCTTGCTGCTGCATCACCTGTTTGGGGTCTGGCATATTGACCAGCGCCCTGAGAAGGAGTATGGAGTGGCATTAGATGAGGTGAGCAAGAGAGGATGGGTGCCTTTGGTTGCATCTCGGTGATTCTAGATGCATGTAGGTGCATGTAGGTGCATGTAGTAGGTACGCCCATGTGAGTCTCGGTGGGCTGAAGTGAAGTCGTTTCCTCCACCACTGTCGCTCACCCCCCTCCTTTGTCCCATACCCAGGTTTGCAGTCAAACAAGCATCGTTTTCTTTGCAGCCATTCTGGACGGCAGGCAACAGCTGCCCCCAGATACCTACAAGGAGTTTCTCCGCATGCCGTACCTTCCCTCGTCACCCTTCCACCTCCCTCATTTCACTCACCTGCTGCCTCATCCCCTCCCTCCCCATCCCCTACCCAGGTCCGTAAGCGCATGAGCATCGTCCTGTATGCAGCCATTCTGGACGGCAGGCAACAGATGCCTCCAGATTACTACAAGGAGTTTCTCCGTGTGCCGTACCTTCAGTCGGGATCAGCAGGATTGCCACACGGCATTCCTCATCACTCTTCCTCCCTCCCGCCCGCATTCCCTCCCTCCCCATCCCCTAACCAGGTCCGTAAGCGCACGAGCATTGTCCCCTTTGCAGCCATTCTTGACGGCAGGCAACAGCTGCCTCCAGATTACTACAAGGAGTTTCTGCGCGTGCCGTAAATTCAACCCTGTTATGTTTCCTCAATCCCTCCCCATCCCCTGCCCAGGTCCGTAAGCGCACGAGCATCGTCCCTTTTGCAGCCATTCTCGACGACAGGCAACAGCTGCCTCGGGATTATTACAAGGAGTTTCTGCGCGTGCCGTACATTGCAATCACAGCCATGACTGTTGGCGCCTACTTCTGCCATCCCCTCATGGTTCAGGCCAGCTTTTGGCTTCACTGGTAGGGAAGGGACGTGTAGCAAAGGATACAAACCAGGCAGCAGCATGTGCCATGCATTGCAATCACGGATGGCCATGACTCTGGGCACCTACTTCTACCACCCCCTCATGGCTCAGGCCAGCTTTTGGCTTCATTGGTAACTGGATAACATTAGATAGATTGGTAGGGTGCGGTTCTTGCTGGGAACTGGAGAGATGTTACATTAGATGCTTCGCGCAATTTGGTACATACCAAACCAGCAAGCACATTATCTACAGAAACTTACACCCACTATCATTGACCACTTGTTGTCAAAGGTACTTGGTGCTGGCAGATGCTATTGTACAATGAAGTAATCATTGGCACTAACTATAATCGGCCTATAGTGAATAACGTATATTTGTTGGAAGTTGACAACAAAACCTACATGTAACATCCTCGCACTTTAAATTCAATTAAAACGACTCTGTTCAAAAAGAGGTTACGAAGATGGTGAAGGAAATCATGCAGCTGATTTTCACACGTGGTAAATCCATTCTTGATAGGATGCTCAGCTTCCCGCTCCCTCGTTGATTTGCGGCCTGCACTGGAGCATGCATGTGTCGAATGAAGACTGGAACAGGCTGCAGGGGAATGATAATCCTCCGTGTAAAACGACTGCGTGATTTGCTCGTGCCTGTGATTTTTTAATAGCCGCTCAATGCAAGCCAGCCGAGCTTGCTCACGATCATCACAGGCAACAAATGGTGGAAGATCCAACGAACGGGCAGAACGAAGACGAACGGACACGGAAAAAAATAGCCAGAATAACTGTCATTTCGTATGGTGAAGGTTATCACCACCTTAACTTGATTGAGAGCAGGGTGCATTTTCATTCCCCGGTCAGGGAAGGTGAAGCAGCGACTAGACCGATACATCTTGCGGGCTGATGTATCTCGACAATTAAATGCGCGGTGAAGGATAACCATTCCTGATGCTGTAAGCATTTATGTTATGTCGGGTGTGTGTAAATAGTGAGTCATCTTACGTGGTTCGAAGGGCTGCATCAATTTTATTGCTCCGAGCTTCGTGGACCGTCGTTCGTTGCGCTGGCAACTCAAGGCAACACTAATCAAGTCGGGATTGCAAGCAGGGGCGGCCATTGTTGCTAGTTGAAGCTGCCAAGAAAATTCATACACGCTGCATTTTTGCGATACATTTTGCAAAATATCGGCCAAGGTTGACGGAATCTCGACGACAGTCCTAGGACAAAGCTCGGAGGGTTAACATCTCCAAGTTTCAGAAATTCTGTCAATAGCCATATAATTCTCTCCGTTGTTCCCTTGTAGTCCGTCTCAGAACGGTCACATTCGGTAGTAGTTAATCTCTCCTTCGTCCATCGCTGTTTCACCCAGTGTTAAGGCAATCCCTACTTACTGCTTTCGTCATGGACAAATACACGCTGAAACTTCGTCGGTATCAGGGCATTTTTTGGGTGATCGCTGACTGACATTGTGAAGCTGCAGGTTTCTTTGAATTTTTGCAGTGATCGATAGTCACAAGCAAACATGCAGGAACAGACGAGTACGGCCGTCATCGAATCCACATACGCGATGATATGAGTCGAACCAAAGGCGAGTGGGCCACCAGATTCACAATCCAGCGTCATGCTGATGTGTACCACGCAACAAGAATCGCAGATTATGGCGGGAAATGAGATACCTCGTTGGCACGTGACGGACAGTTCCATTGAGGTTACACAGCGCGGCAACCTGTAAACACCAATCACGGGCGACAGCTGTTCACGAAATGACAGCACTCCCTCGACGTGGGTCTTCTGTGGTTCAGAGCAATCCGCATGCCAGCTTGCTCGGGCAGCGCAGCTGCAGACAGAAATTATCCATTCCCATCTTGTCAACGTGCCCCTTCCCGTAGTATGCTTGCCAACCAAGCCGAAAACCCCCCTCCTTCATCTTCATTCCTCTCTCACTCTGTCTGCCCCATCCCCATTTCCAATCCAACTCCTGTCCGGAACTGTTCACCCGCCCTTCCATCTCCCTCCCCTCTTGTGGATGCACCCACCCCTATCGCTACCTGTTGTCTGTCCGACTGCCCCCACCGCTCCCACAAGGATAAGACCACCTCTTCACACTCAAATAGCTCTCTGCTCAGTTGGTTGCCTTTCTGGATTACCACTAGAGTCCTTAGGACCTCAACTCAAGGTTCTACGTGTGCTATTAAAATACTTAAATCTCCAATATTCGTCGTAAGACTCACCCAGTCTCGACGACGCCATGGCTGCCACTCGTCCATCAGACGCTGTTCGCAGCTCCTACCCGCCATTTCCGCGGAAGGACTCCCGCTGTCCTTCCACCAGCGCTAGCGGCTCCAATCAGCCGCACCACCAGTTGCGAAAGGCTATGGAGTCACGATTGGCAGCGTCATCGGGGGCAGTGTCGTCGAATCGCGTATGCGAGAAGGCTGCGCTTGTCTCGACCTCCCAGTCCTCGGCTGCCCCGTCCTCATCTCCACGTGTCATTCCGAAATCTCGCAGCAGCGGGGCGCTCCTCGCCTCATGCCCCATCCCCTTTAAGGCAGGAGTTTCTCCCCTTGCTCCTCCTGCCGAATCATCCATGACCGCCTCGTCGTCCCTGTCGGGTAACCAGACGGTTGCTACAGACCCTTTTTCGCGTCTACCGGACGACGTGGTTATCGAAATTCTTTCGCATCTGGGCGGCGGGGCGCCCGACGTGCTTGCAGCGTCGATGACGTGTCGCCGATGGCAGTCGCTCACTCGCGCCATCCCCGTCCTGCGATTCGTCCCCCGGGACACGAGCCGGGCGGGCGGAAGTGACTGCGCCTCCACGCTCCCCGCTTGTTCCGCCATCCAACGCGAGGAGCTTGTATCGCGTATGGTTCTAAAATCTGCCGGTCTGCAGCAGCTTCAAGTCACTTCCTCCCTCCTCCCCCCTCCCGCCGCTAGCGCCTTTCCCGCGCGTTCCGCCTCCTCCCCGTGCGACCATGGCGCCGATTGCGCGTGCAGCGGCAGCGCAGAGGCAACCCCGCAGCAGCAGCAGCAACAACAGGAGCAGCACCAGCAGCACCCGCGCGAATTTATCTTCGAGGCGTGGATGCGCCACGCCGGCCCGCAGCTGCAGTCGCTTGTTCTCTCTCGCTCTCTCAACGCCGCCGCGAACGGCGGCGGCTCCACGACAATCAACGTCTGGGAGAACGAAGATCTCAGCTTGCATCTCGGGCATATTTCCCGCCACTGCAAGTCCCTGCGGTCGCTCACTCTCGGGTCGCTTTCTCTCGCGGCGCCTGCGCTCGAGTCGTGCCTCCGTCCCATGCCCAACTTGCAGGATTTGTCGCTTTCCTGGATCCACCTGACGAACGAGTGCCTTCAGATGATTCTCGACGCGACCCCGAACCTCCGCCGTTTGACGATATTTATGGCGACGGGCTGCCCGCAAATTTCTCTTCGCCTGCCCGCTTCGTTGGAGCACGTTGACTTTGCTTACCTGCGCGCCGAGTCGTGCGCCTTCATCACCGCCTCCTCGCTCAGATCCGTGTCCATTCGCGACATGTTCGTGCGCTCAGTTACCATCCAACAAGCCCCTCGCCTGCGCTATTTCGCCATCGCCAGCGCCAGTCTCCTGGAGGTCTCGGCACCTGAGTCGTGCGAGATCACCACCCTCGATTTGAAAGCGGGTTCCTTCTGTTGGTCCTCGTTACAATCACTCCTTCGCGGTTGCGGCACGGCTCTCAGCTCTCTCGCTCTTGATTTCTTCACCGCGGGATCGGGAGCGCTGTCGTCGGGAATCTTCTCCCTCTTCTGGCTGGCCGCCATGTGCCCCGCGCTTCGCGCCTTGAATCTCGGCTCGCTCCCGTGGCAGCTCGTCCTCTCCTGGGCGACCACCTCCGGCGCGCTTCAGCCGGCGGCATCCGCGGCGGGATCTGCGGCGCGGTGGCCGCAGCTGGAGGAGTTGAAGCTTAAGGTTCAGGAGCAGAGGCCCGAGGCGCTCCTGCTGCTGCACGCGCTTCTGTCGAATGTGCCAACACTGAAGTCGCTTCAAGTGGCCACTGCAGTCGATGAGGAGGAAGAGGAGGAGGAGGAAGAGGAAGTGGAGGAGGAGGAAGAGGAGGAGGAAGATGAAGAATTCGAGGAGGGAGAGGAGTGTGAGGATGAGTACGAGGAAGAGGAGGTTGAGGAAGCCGAGGAGTATGAAGAAGAATACGAAGATGACGTGGACGAGGATGATTTGATGGAAGTGGAGGAGGGTGCGGAGAGCTCTGACGAGTATGACGACGAGGACGAAAGCATGCCGGTCCGGTCTGGCGGACCTGCCGTTCAGCGTCACATGAGCCGGCAGGAGCTGTTTCTCAAGGGGCTTGTGTGCCTGCAGCAACGATTTTCTGACGTTAACGTCTTCCTGCCGCTGCTCGCTCGCCGCTCTACTTCGTGAACTAGTTTGCCCTAGGATTCTTCAAGAAGCTTAGTTAGATGCATTTATAAGTATACCATGTTCGATATGTGTTGTACCCTAATCCAGGGTTTGATGGCCAAATTTCCGTTCTTTACTTCAGTTACATTCCGTACAACACGAAAGGTACCACCAGTGGCTGATAAACAAAAAATTGCCTCCTTCGCATTGGTTCTGTCCTGCCTCCTATCGAGTCGCACTGACTGCCCAGAGCATATTACCGTAGGCAGTACAACGGGAGGGCTGTGCCTAAACATGTCCTAATGACCTACACGGTACACACCCTGGCATAAGCTAGCTGGCGGGGTTATCTAGGGAACTTATAGGCATCGTGACAGGAGCACCGTTGAGCTGACTCAACGTCTCTCTCCATGCCATAAAGATATTCAAACCCACAACGCAAGATGCGCTGGTGCAACACGAGAGTGCGGGTGCTTAGTGACTGTACATCTAGTTATTTAAGGCTAGGTCAGGTTTTTAATGCTCTGATTTGGTAGGTCTCAGTTTTTCAACAGGTCTGAAATTCATGACTATTTAACCGAGAAGATTTTAATGATCATATGGACTACTTCGATAACAGAGTCAGTTCACTTGAATCTCCGTTAGTAATGCTGCTCGATTGGCTAAAGTGGTCTGTGGGACAACAATATCTCCGTGGCGCAGGTGTTTGGAGAACGGCGTTTCAGCCAGCTTGCCATCGGAATTTCACCTGCGATGTTCGAATCAATTTCAGGGGTCAGTTCAGGACCCGCTTGCCACGAAGTCACGCAGCTGGTCCTCAGCGAACCCCTTCAGTATGGTAACCATCATGGGTTCGAGGACATGTGCGAACAGCCCTAGTGCCCAAACACAGATTTTCGTGGCTACGCTACGCACCTGGGGTTGTATGCAACTCGGGATTTTCCGTTTTGACCGCTCTGTACACCACCTCCCAAGCTCACTGCCCTCGACGCCAATGCTAGACTCACCAACAACGTCCAGACTCAACTAACTCAGCACAACGGAACTTGGGATACCTATCACGATTTCCATGGGAGTGCTGGACACTGGAAGTTAGTCTTCCAGCTCGAAAAATACTCAAGGATCTCTCGCTCCTAACAGCTATTGGACTACATCATATATGAAAAACTACCAACATGAAATTAAAGAGTATTTTACGCTTGTTAACGCGGATCTACAATACATTCCCAGTAATTACCCCCAGCCCATAATACCCCGAGTCACAGACAATGTTTCAAAAGATAAGGATAAAAGATGGTGTACACTGCAGATCTGCTTATTAAGCAGACAGATACAAGCACTGAAGAGAGCAAGCCGATTCAGAGAAGATGCAGCAACCGTAATGGTACAAGCCCAGGCCGTTCCATGGACACAATACATTTAGAACGCCCAATCGCGCAGGAATATTTAACACCGCGTATAATATCACCGGAGAAGAATCATCTGCTGCTGCCGAACGCCACTAGTTAAGCGCGCTTAGGGCTTCCCAGTCTTCCCAGGGCCACCAGCAGCGGGACCACCAGTACCGGGGACGACGGGACCAGAACCACCCGTAGGGGGGACGACAGGGCCAGCACCACCATTGCCGGCACCACCATTGCCGGCACCACCATTGCCAGCACCACCATTACCGGCACCACCATTGCCAAGTGGGCCATTCCCAGGTGAGGAGGTCACCCCGCCGTAGTTGCACACACCCGCGGCGCAAGTGCCTGGGCACCGGGCACCGCACGCGCCGCAGTGGGCGTTGTTGGTGTTGGGGTTGATGCAGGTACCGTTGCAGCAGATTTGGGTGAGGTCGCAGAAGTTGGAGCACACGCCACAGTTGTTAATGTCGGTCAGAATGTCCACGCACAGTCTGAGGAGAATCCGCACGAGAAGAAAACGGAAGGCACGCAAATAATAGGTGAGAAAAAGAGTGATAGGCACAACGGAGTGGTGCAGGATGATTCAACACAAAGAGCAATAAGAACGGCAGAAGGGGGCCGAAGGCCGGATAAAGACTCGCATGGGAGAACGCGTGAGGCAGAGGAATGAGAAGTGGGACATGCGTGCAGAAGGTTTTGCAGAGAGAAGCGAGAAACTTACGATCCGCAGAGTGTTTGGTTGACGCAAGTGGGAAGCTCTGTCAGCTTGCGCCACCTCAGTCGGTGCGCGCTGCCGCTGCGGACGGAGTTGCGCACGGCGTATTTCTGCGCGAGGGAAAGGAAACGGATGGAATGACATGAGGGTAAGGACACATGTGTGACGCAAGCGTCTAGAAGGTGCTCGGGAGTGTAGAGAGGTTGCATGTTTAGGCTTGTGAGCCAGACAGCTACGCAAGGCGGATCTTCTATCAGGTGGACTACGAGAATCCCCGATCCTGTAACCGTAACATAACGAGATCTAAATCGTCATAAGAAAGTGAAAAGTACTGTACTCCTAGGAGCAACTAATATTGTCGACGGAAATTTGATGAACATCCTAGCTAGTGCTTCTTAGGCGGAAAACTAGTCGTTGACTGGCAGATACTAGAATCGAGCGGTTCCAGGGGCGGACAAGACTAAGCACCTCGAAATTGCTGCTTGATGCTTGCGCGGCGTGGGCCAGCGCGAGGCACAGCAGTATGGTAATCAACACTTGAGTCTTCATGGTGACTAGCTTGTTCCAATAATCCGCCGAGGCTGGAGCCTCTCTGATATCGACTAAGCCGTTCTTAGCTCTATGTCCCGCTGCTGTGATGGTTGAAGCAGGCTGCTAGCAGGATCTGGTGAAATGGCTCCAGGCTAAATCAACCTGGAAGTTGGAGGGATTGCTTTCTCTACTATGGGATGGGCAGTGAGTTTTGCTGCGGACTCGTTCAAGATGGTTGAAGCAGAAAAGCGGGGTTCGTGAATACTTGATCGCACAAGCCCCTGAGCAATACCTGCGGGTGACCTCATACCAGCAGGTGCGAGGGAAACATGTGGTCTGCGAAATTACTGTTCCGCTACCTGCTCCCTTCCCGGTTGGCGGGGCGCCGCGAGTGGAGGAACAGGTATCTGAGGAGAAACCCCTGGCAACAGAGAGCCTTGTGTGCGACGCAGCGCACACTCAGCTGAAATCTTGCGCGGGGCGCAGAGCATAACGCTGGGTGTGTGCGACAGTTTCGCAGTGTGGTTGGAGGGCTGTGCTGCCCTAGCGAGAGGTGCACTCACATCCAGGTGCCAACTATGCAGGCAGAACTGGCAACCATGAATGAATGTCAAATTTACTGTCGTGTTGCGAATCTATGAACTACATGGTGGCGTTTCAGTCGAATTTTCTAAGTGGTGATCCAGACTCGGAACCGGAATGCTTTTCTTTCAGCGAACAAAATTGTAGAAAGATGTCACCCCACTTCATGTGGCAGGTGACGGACCACCACTTCAGGTGCACGCAGGTGGGCGCCGTACCGCAGGTGAATTTCCAAGTCAGGCGTCCTGAACTGTTTACATAGCCTTCCCGAGAAAAGTGGCGAGCGGCTACTTTCAAGCGCGCGAAAAGTTGAGCCCAGAGTTGGACGGCGAGCGTTGAACTGCACAGCCTACGACGCACTAGATTCGAGCATCCGATTCGTCAGAGAGCAAGCGACGTTCTAACGGTCGCCATCCAAGGAAATGTGACCAAATGGTAACAGCTAGTGTTACGACCCACCTGAAACCAGAAAACAACTAGAGCTTAAATTTGGAATGGGGGTAAACAGAATGCATCGCCCTATTAAAAAAAATATTTTTGAGAAAGTTTTTTCTTCATTGTGGTGATATAAGTTTCAATATTTGATATATATTACACACATAGAAATGTGCCCCATAATTTTCAAGATTTCACCGGTTGATAAACACTTGAAAAAAAAAACGGTATCTCAAAGGAGCTAGATCGATGCATTCTCAACACGATGCAGCAATGGTATAGTTCAATATCGTGTCAAGCTAGGAGAGTGAGGGTATGGTTTGGAGCCAGCACATAATAGTCTGTTCTCATTCAGGAGGATTTATCGAATAGCAGGCTAGCCAGTGTTGAGCTTATGAAACTTATCTGGATGACCCTCAGTTTCTTTTATAGTTAAATGCGGTCTTCATTTCATATCCATGGACCTACATAACAAAGAACAGCTATGTACATCGGACAAGTAGGAAACTAAAAACAAGAGGCGACGAAATCGTCTTAGGGTTGCGAAGCAACATTACACTGTTATTTTTAGATACATCTGATCTATAGTGAGAATTATATAATATCGTAACATGACTTTGATATTTGCTGAATCATTGCTATTCATAGATACATGTTTCATATAATATGGGAGTATACAAATGAAAGGGTGTACATAACAGATGGGTGTGGTTGTTTAGGGTAAGTTATTCTTGTTGTGTTCATATGATTTGGTTTTAGGGTGACTGAAAATCTGAAACAAAAATAGCTACAGAAAGGAATAGCTTTGTTTTACCGAAACAATGTCCATGACCAGACTCAAACTCCCGACCTTCGCAATGAAACGCGGCTTCGACAAGGCTGTGCTATACAACGTGTTTATTGTGGCGTTAAACTATATTGACCTTAAATGAAATAAAAACGTCCCATTCTAGGGTTTCGTCAAATGTCTTTTTGCTCCGTTTCTCTTCCACCTAGTCAGACTACTCTAGCTTCTCCCCGTCCCTCACGCCACTCACGCCACTCACACCACTCAGACTATAACTCCTAGTTAAGGTAAGCCTCATTCTCTCTATTCTTAAGTTCATTCTAGTTGAGAGTGGGTTCTAGTTTAGCTCATTTGGTTGAGAGTTGTTTTTTTTTAAACGAGATCTAGACGTATTTTGTTTCTTAACCTCGCTTTCTTCCTAGGTTATGCACCGTACTTTTGTTCTCTCCTTCCCTCTCCTTCTCTCCACTTCTTCCCATCTTCTTCTCTCCTTTATTTCGATTTACATTCTACTTGCTTGCTCTTTTCAGCTCTTGCTCTTACTTTTGTCTTCTTCCGTACGCTGTTTCTTGATTTATTCCTCTTCCTTAATTGAAATTTGACATGATTATTAACAATTATGTTCAGAGAGTTAAATTATTAGGTTGGAGCATTCTCTTTCTCGTTCTCTTTCTCGTTCTCTCGTTGTCTAGTTCTTTCTCGTTCTCTCGTTCGTTCTCCCTCGTTCTTTCTCTCCCGTTTTCTCTCTCTCTCTCGCGTTCTCTCTCTCTCTCTCTTGTTCTCTCTTTCTCTCGTTCTCTCGTTCTCCCTCGTTTTCTCGTTCTCTCTCTCTTCTCTCTCTCTCTCTCTCTCGTTATTTCACTCTCGTACTCTCGCTCTCGCTCTCGATCGTTCACCCTCGTTCTCTCTCGCTCGTTCCCTCTCTCGTTCTCTCCCTCTCGTTTCTCGTTTTCTCTCTATCGTTCTCTTTCTCTCGTTATCTCTCGTTTTCTTTCTCTCTCGATCTCTCTCTCTCTCGTTCTCCCTCTCTCGTCCTCTCTCTCTCGATCTCTCTCTCGTTCTCTCTCTCTCTCTCGTTCTCTCTCTCTCGCTCTCTCTCTCGTTCTCTCTCTTGTTCTCTCTCTCTCTCGCTCTCTTTCTCTCTCGTTTTCTCATTCTTGTTCTCTCGTTCTCTCTCTCTCTCGTTCTCTCTCTCTCTCGTTCTCTCTCTCTCGTTCTCTTTCTCTCTCGTTTTCTCGTTCTTGTTCTCTCGTTCTCTCTCTCTCGTTCTCTCTCTCTCATGTTCCCTCTCTCTTGGTCCTGATTATTTATATTTACCACTTTTCTATGATTTCTTTTTCTCTTTATCTACTTTGTTTTTGTTTTCAGGAGTTTTGCTGATCAAGAAGACGAGTGCAATCTGGACAATTTGTAGTTGTCACTTATAGGATTTCCCATATTGCCATCTTTATTTTGTTTTGCATGTTTTATGTCTTATCGTGGGTTTCCGGCTCGTTTTTTTGTTGTGCATGCGTTTGGTTGTTGTGAATGTGTTTGCTTGTCTGAGTGTGCATTCATCCATCATTGCAATAACAATGCATGTCTTTGAATTTTAAAAAGGTGAATCGGCTCTATCATCTTTACCAAAAGGTTCATTGGCTCGCTTGTCGGCAGCCCACTTGAACTGGAGATGATAGAGTTGACCATCTTTTTGGAGTTCACAGATTGTGTTGTCTCATGTGACTGCTGATTGTTCAAAGATTATGCTATCAACTCCCCGACATGCTAGGCGGGGGATGCGGTAGCATAGTTTTTGGGTCGTTAGCTTTCACGCATCCCTATCATTATAAATATGCATCATAGATTGTCAGTAATATGTAAGCATTACCGGTATTCGTATCGAACATAGGGCATGCATTTATCATTTATCATATCGTATCATATCATACACAATATATTTCATATAATAACAATCTATTCATCTACATTCACCGATCATTATATTCATCTCATCATATTATGTGCATATTATACGGTAGTAAATCACAGCCAAGTTAATCACAGAAATAACCTAGTTGTCTAAAAAAATCGGTACCACCACGTTAGTATAATTGAACTAGACAGGACCTCCTACAGTTTCCGTAGCTATCAATTAGGAAAATCAGTTTTTTTTTTATTTTCATATTTTATTTTAAATAAATAAAATGTGAAAATGTGAAAAAAAAACTGGCCAAATCGATCGTATTAGGTTGCTTCGCAACCCAAAAAAGGGATGAGCGCTAATGCCTCTTCGACTCGCATAAGGGGCTTCGGCGTGCATCAAATGCTGGCCCGGTCGCTGTAGCTTCATTTGAGTGGACTGGAGATGGAGAATTTTCCTCTCTCCGCAATCTTGCATGCTGCGCGTCGTAAGTGTCACTCTACGAGCACGACAAATGTCGCGAAATCTTCCGTCGATACCGGTTCAACAAGGAGCACAGGCCGTTGTTTCGTTCCCGGGACAAATAACTGCTGTCAGGAATTGCAGAACGTGCACTGCGTGAAGCTGTCAATGAGGACGACGAGGAAGTGACGAACGTAGCACCATTAGACATAGTCTCCCCGGCTGTCGCGTCACCGTAACGGCGAGAAGGCTGGGAGGTGGCGAAGGGATGATTCGACAAAGCTTGCTCCAGACACGACTTGAATTGCTCCTCCGCGATCCACATGTCGGCTGCTGATTGATGGATGCTGTGCCGCATCTCCTCCAAGTGGTCCGAGTTTAGGTATGCACGGACCTCTGAGATACCACGAAACGGGGAAAATTCAGAAGGGTTTGAGGAGTGAGAACGAAAAGGTTATGAGAGTCGCTGACGTTACAACCCGTTGAGGCATCGGCCCGGGAGAATGAAGTCGGGAAGGCATCATGAGAACGCAAACACACATGGCCAACACGGTTCATGGTTGACCTCAAGCTTACCATCTAATGTCGGATGAGTTCCCTGAAACCTAGTCATCGCGGAAAATCGACGAGTGGCCTGTGCGTGAAAATAATTTCCTAAAATGTGCCTGCTTCCCTTAGGCGGGTGTGATACCTAAGTGACTGGGGTTTCTGGTTGCTCAGGAGGGTCTCGACGGGTCCACGAAGTTGACGTATGAAAAGGCTGAGAAATTAACTAAAATACTTAAGAACTCGAAATACGCATCGTCAACGCAGGATCAGGGATGGACAGCTTGCAAATTCTAGGGAATCACT